GGGACCCTGTCTCAAAAAAAAACAAATAGTATCCATTTAAAAAGCACAGTAAAACGTCCCCCGGTCCTTATTTCTTTCTTTCTTCTTGTTTATTTATTATTTATACAGCCTACAAGCCAGAAGACAGGACCAGATCTCACTATAGATGGTTGTGAGCCACCATGTGGTTGCTGGGAATTGAACTCAGGACCATCTAGAAGAACAGCCAGTGCTCTTAACCACTGAGCCACTCTCTAACCCTGGTCCTTTATCTTAAGAGAGCCTTTGCACTCTGTGCTGTAGGGTGCTGGCCAGACTCTTTTCAAATGGATTCCAAATTTTAAAAAAAGATTAATTGAAGTATGCGCGAGTGTGTGTATGTGTGTGCGCGCACGTGAAAACGGACGCGGGTGGCTATGGAGGGCAGAAGATGTCGCTGGATCTCGAACTGGAGTTCCAAGAAGCCATGGCCACCTGTGGTTTCTGGAAACTAAACTCAGCTCCTGTGAAGAACAGTCAGTGTCATCCCCGCACTCAGGAGGTGGAGGCAGAGGAATCAGTGTTTGGACCCTATGAGCTACACAGTAGGACCCTTCCAAGACTCGAAGGCCACACCGCGCACTATTTGGCTTTTAGGGTAATTTAAACCGCAGGGGAGCTGGAGCCTGGGCCAATGGGTGAGCCACTCTGGGTTTTCGGGGCTCGGTCGATACGCATGGGCCCGAGGTTCGCTGAGCACAAAGCCGGGGTCGCATCTGTGATGCCTGCCCTGGGTCGCCAGAGACCGCAGGGTCCCTGGTGCTCGCTGACCCGCCAGCCTTAGCAGCAACTGGCAGGTCGCGGCGAGACAATGTCTCAAGGGGGAAAGGAAAGTGGTGGTAAAGGGCTACCGAGGACGGACACCCGGGGTTCCCTCTGTCTCCACACACGCACACTAGGCATAGTTAAGGTCTTGTGTCTGTGCAGAATTGGCACCTGGACCACGGGAGAGCCCCAAATCCAGAGGCTCACGGGCTCTCCGATGTGGTGACAAACCGTTTTTGCAGAATTCGCCCACATCCTGCCCTTGAACCTCGCTACACCTTTACTCTGAGGGGCACGTAAAAAAACGTGACTCCAGAGGTCTCTCCTTCCCTGTGGGTGTCGGGGCCCGAACTCAGTTCATCACGCTTGGCGGCAAATCCACCGTCATCCACCGAGCCCTTCTGCAGGCCTTTAGTTTTCTATATTTACTTATTTGCATGCTTCCTGAGGGAGCACACCTCCAGCCCTTCCTTACAACCTTCCAACACCGACTGCCTGGGCATCTGCGGCCCAGGTGCAGCGCTGACGCGCACGCGCAGCTTAGTGGGCTCCTGGTTCCCAGGGAAACAGCACCGCGTCGCGTCCCTCGTAGCTCGGCGGAGGCCCACACAGCTTGTCCTCCGCGGCGGCTAATCCTACCTAGTACCCTAACCAAGCTCACCACCTCCCGCAGGCTCAAATAACCACGCTTTATACCCAAACCCGCCTGACCCACTCCCTCCCCAAACTACCGGAAACCCTTTCCTGCCCTTTGACCTCGCCATCGACCTTTAACTTTTTGGACCACAGGCGACGCCATCTTGACACAGTGGTAGCCGCGCGTTCACGGCTCAGGGCACGTGGGGAGGAAGAGGATTGTTTAGGGGTCAAAAGCCCGGTTGCGACAGCGACGAAGGCTGAGGCGGCCAAGCACTACGTTTCCGCTCCCAGCTCTCTTCTGGTCGAAGTTCACAACCAGTTCCGGTCATCCTCCCCATCCTGTTCCGGTTCCAGCCGACTTCCAGTTTTCCGTACAAAGGACTTCCGTTTCGCAAACGGAAGTCAAGATTGGTCTGGGCTATGGGACTGGTGGACGGCTGGAGGTGGGCAGGCCCGTTCGGCCCGCCGCTCGCCGACCCCAGCACCGCTAGGGCCCGCCTCTGCTCCAAGCTGATTGGATAGGGACGCTCCTTTGACAGCTCATCCAAGCAAAATGGCCTGGTGGGCGGGGCTTCTCCTTTGCCCCGCCCCGGGGCGCGGCTACGACAGATGGGCCCCGTGAGGCCTTTTCCAGTTGCCGGAATGCCCTAGTCGCCGAGACCGCTGAGGTGCCTGTGCTCAGGCCCGGCTCGGCAAGGGGCTCAGCGTGTTGGGGTGCTTGCAGCCGAGGCTGACGACCCGGGTTGGAGTCCCGGGTGGTGGGAGGTTGAGCATTGAGCCCCGCGGGGGTTCAGACTGACTTCAGGTCCTGCGGCTCTCGTGGCCACACACAAAATAGACTGAGGCTGGCGAGAGGCTCAGCGGTTAGAGCGCTGCCTGCCCTTGCGGAGGACCGGGGTTCGATTCTCCGCACCCAGGTGACTCACACGCGCCTGTAACTGCAGCTCCAGGGATCTGAGCTCCCTTCTGGCCGACACGAGCACCGCATGCACGCGGTGCGCAGACACAAACAAAGCTTTTACCTAGCCCTCCCTTGCTACGACCTTCCCTTGAAAGCACACATTACGATCAACGCGGGGCATCGTTCCTCCTTAGTTTTCACTTTGTTTCCTCATTTTAATTTTATTTTTTGTTCTTTTGAGACCAAGGAGGTAGACCAAGCAGGCCTCGAACTCAGGGAGTCCCTGTCTGGAGCGTGACCAGCAACGCCAGCCGCCTCCTCGCCCCCCGCCCACCCTCCAGCCGGCGCCAGGCACCCCACTCTTCTCCTCCCACGTCCGCAAGCCTGTGGGGCCCGGCTCCGCCCAGCAGATGGCGCCCGCGCTCGCCCGTGCGCGCTGGCCAGAGCTCGGGAGGAGCTCTGCATGGCTTCCAGAAGGAAAAGCCTCTACCTCCTGTCGGTGACAACTGGGGTCACCCTGCACCAGACGCCCCAACGTGCTCGCGTGTCTCCAGCAAATATTCTATCAACGTCTGCGCCCCAGACTGACCCCAGGGGGTCAGGAAGGAGGGAACAGAGCACGGAAAATTGTGAGTGTGTGTGTGTGTGTGTCCTGCTCTCCTGCCTTTTGGGAACCCAGGTTCAGTTATTCCCAGAAGCTGACTCCTGAGGATCACAAAGTCCACGCGCATTTGTATATAAAAATAAATTTTAAAATAAAAAGGGCTGGGCATGGTGGTGCAGAGGCAAGAGGATCTCTGTGAATTAATACCCGGCTGGGCTGCAAACAGAGCGAGTTCCAGGACGTCCAGGACTACACAGAGAAAAGCCGTTAGGAAAAAAACCAACCAAACCAAACCAAATCAAAACCTCGAATAAGTAAGTAAAGAAATAACACAAATTAAAAAAGAAAGAAAGAGAGAGAGAGAGAGAAAGAAAAAAAAAGGAAGACAGGAAGGAAGAATACAGTGGGGGTGGAAGCTGGAGAGATGGCTCAGCGGTTAAGAGCATTGGCTGCTTTTCCAGAGGTCCTGAGTTCAAGTCCCAGTACCCACACAGTGGCTCACAGCCATCTATAGTGAGATCTCATGCTTGCCTCTGTCCTGTGGATGTACATGCAGACAGGACACTATGCATAATAAGTAAATATATCTTTTTTTAAAAAAAAAAGAATACAATGAAATTAAATAAGTAAAATAAATGAAGTAAAATCAATAAAAGAAAACACAATAGATAATAATTAATAATAACAAAGGTTCTGGAGAGAACCAGAGCACTTCGGTGCGCTTCTGGCTCTGGAGCATGCAGTGCGGTTCCCAGCACTCCGGTTTCCAGCTGCACAGCGTTAGATGCTCTTCTGGCCTCGGCAGACAGCTGCACTCAGGCTCACACCCCGTGCAAACACACACACAATTAAAAATGGTTAAATCAACATTTAAAAGTAAGATATAGGAGGCGGTGCCGCACTCCTTTAACTCCAGCACTCAGGAGGCAGAGGCAGAAAAATCCCTGAGTTTGAAGCCGGTCTGATCTACAGAGTAAGTTCCAGGACACTCAAGGCTACACAGAGAAAAGAGAGAGAAAATTTAAAGTAAAACAATAACAAAGCAAATAAAACAAATTAATTGTACATCATGTACAAGGCCCTGACTCTGTAGGACGAAAAAAAATGGGAGTTTTAAAAATTTTGTTATTATCATTGTGGATGATTTGAGACAGGAGTTCACTATGTAGTCCAGGTTGGACCTGAACTCACAGAGATTGCCCAGGCTCTGCCTCCCAAGAGTGTGGGGATTAAAGGCCTCGCCACCAAAACTGGCAAAGGAAACCTTAATTTTCAGACATGGATGGTAGCCATGATTGAATATTGTTGTATCCTGAGCTGAGGTGGTGACATCATCTCAAGTAAATTACTTGTCAAGCTCGTAATACGTATGGCCACCAGAGGGCGCGAGAGACCGCCTCCTTCAGCTTACAGACCCGGACCTGGCCTCTGGGAATGAAGATCTAGTCCCACTGATCCCATGCCGTCACAGTCCTGGCTGAAATAAATAGTGATGTCTTGCGCACAGACCTACCTAGCATGTAAAAGTCCTGGCTTCAGAAGCAGAGCAGGACCAGGAAAGAAACTGAAATATAAATGTCACTGGGTGCGGTGGCGGACGCCTGTAATCCGGCACTCAGGACGGCAGAGGCAGGCGGATCTCTGTGAGCTTGAGGCCAGCCTGGTCTACAAAGGATGTCCAGGAGAGCCAGGGCTACACAGAGGAACTGTGTCTCGAAGACCAAAGGGGCTGGAATATATGTGTGTGCGCCTATGTGTTTATGTGTATATATGTGTGTGTGTGCGCGCATATATATATACATTCATACATATGTAGCCTTTTTTCATCCTTTTTGGTTATTTTCTTAGATATATATTTATTTATTATGTATACAGTATTCTCCCTGCCTGTGTGCTTGAGAACTGGAAGGGGGCTCCAGATCTCGCTGTAGACGGTTGTGAGCCACCATGTGGGTGCTGGGAAGTGAACCTCCGGAAGAGCAGCCGGTGCTCTTAACCTCTGAGCCGTCTCTTCAGGCCCCTCTCTTAGGCTCGTGGCAGCTCTGTAGTTGCTAGTGCCAAGCGCCCGTCGCCATGCCTCAGGAAACTGAGGAAACCCAGGACTTTCTGCTCACAGGCCTGCGGAAGGGTGCCAAATCTGCCAAGATCAAGAAGAACGAGGATGGTGAAGTTCAAGGTTCGCCGCAGCAGGCACACCTGCTCATCTCAGCCGAGAAGGCGGAGAAGCTGAAGCGGTCCCTGCCCCTGGTTTGACAGTGAAGGAGCTGAAATGAGCCAATCGTCTGGAAAGGGGGGAGGGGGCGGGGCTAACAGTACTTGATGCTCCCACAGAGGACCCAGGCTCCAGTCCCAGCACCCACATGCCACCTCCAGTTACAGGGAATCCAATACCGTCTTCTGGCTTGATTCCAGGCACACATGGTGACATGCGTGCAAAGCAAACATTTACACACATAACTTTTTTTCCAGACAGGGTTCCTCTGTGTAGCCCTGGCTGTCCCGGAACTCATCTATAGCCCAGGCTGGCCTCAAACTCACAGAGATCCATCACCTCCACTTGGTTTTAAAATATATATTTTTTAAGCTGACAGTGGTGGTGCATTCCTTTAATCCCAGCACTGGGGGGGGGGGGGGGGGGGGGGGGCGGGGGAAGGAAAGCTCTGGGGGGTGAGGGGGGGGGGGGGGGGGGTGCAGGGGTGGAGGGGGGGGGGTGGGGGGGGGGGGGGGGGGGGGGGGCAGAGGCAAGCAGATCTCTGTGAGTTCAAGGCCATGTGGAGTGAGTTCCAGGACAGCCAAGGCTAAAACAGAGAAACCCTGTTTTGAAAAACAAAACAAAAATTAAATTAAAATATTGTTTAAGGATTGATTGATTGATTTTAAGAGTGCTCTAGCTGCATGTACACCTGCAGGCCAGAAGGGGGCATCAGATCACATCATAGATAGTTGTGAGCAACCATGTTGGTCCTGGGAATTGAATCCAGGTCCCCTGGAAGGACAGCCAGTGTTCCTAACTGCTGAGCCATCTTTCTAGCCCCTTAAAATATTTTCTTAATGAGGGGAACATTACTGTGACAGAGGCCTAATTGAGGTACAATTATTTATTCACATGGTTGGGGGTCAGGGCCCACCTCCTAGGAATGAAAATGCATTCTCACTTACACTGTGTGGGATTCAGAGATCAAGGTCAAGCCATCCAGCTTGGCAGAAATCGCCTTCATCCACTGACCCCTCTCACGGCCCTCTCTTCCCTACAGAAACCAGGCTAGCCCCAAACTCACAATTATCTCCCGCCTGTGTCCAGAGGGCTGAGATCACAGACCCCGTGTTTTCATTCTCCATCCCACATGCAGGCTGGGAGGCCGCGGTGCTGTGGGTAAGGCGGTCCAGAGATGCCACGCCAACCTGGGCCACCCTCAGCTCACTCCAGGAATTAGCTGTGTAGCCCAGGATGACCTTGACTCTTAACTCTCCTGCCCCCCCACCCCGTACTGGGGTGATATGTTTGACCACATCAGGTTCAATCGGTGCTGAGGATAGAGCTCAGAGCACGTGCATGCCAGCAGGGCTGAGTCCTGGCCCTCCCGCCTCGGCTTGCAGAGGAGCCAGGCCTAGCCTGGATCACATAGGAGGTCATTGTCACCTCACGGGAGGCTCATTTCTCACAGGGAACTTTTGGGGTTCTCAAGTTCCTGCCCCCAGTTTGTCTGCGCACCCAGACATGAGTTGTTGATTCCAAAGCTGAGCACCCAGATTTTATTTATTATTTTTGAATTAATATTTTTAAAGAGTTATTTATTATGTATATAATAGTGTATGTATACAATGTTGTGTCTGCATGTCCACCTGCACCCCAGCAGAGGGCACCAGATCTCACTATAGATGTTTGTGGGCCACCGTGTGCTGGGAATTGAACTCAGGTCGTCTGGAAGAGCAGCCAGTGCTCTTAACCTCGGAGCCATCTCTCCAGCCCCTGAATTAAAATTATGCATTTTATTTTATGCGGTCTGACGTTTTGCCTGCAGGTATGTGTGTGCACAGTGAGGCCAGACCTGGGAGCGACGGATCCCCTGGAACTGGAGTTACAGGGAGGTGTGAGCCAAATGCGGGTGCTGGGGCTCGAACCCAGGTTCTCTGAAACGGCAGCGGGTACTCCCTCCATCTCAACCAGATTTGAAAGATAATTATCTGGTGTGCGTGTGTCTGCGTCTGTGTGTATGAACACCGCGCGTGGGAACGAGTGGGTTCGCCGCGCACCCTGCAGGTTCCAAGGATCAAAAGGCTAGGCCGCAATCACCTCCACCTGCTGACCCCGCTCGGGCCGCCCCAGTCCTCCCAGCTCCCAAACCACCGCACCGGGAACTCGCGGGTTAAGCCGGGGCCTGGAACTCGGTGATTGACAACCGCGCCGCAAGCTGAGCAATGAGCATCCGGGCTCGCCGTCCACGTGGGCTCCCGGCGTCCTGATTGGCCAGCGCCGGCAGGGGGCGGCTGGCGGAGTCCTGAGCCCACGTGCACCTGTGGCTCGGTTCCGGACGAGCGTCCCCGAGTGGGCGCGGGTGGGGCGGGTCCAGAGGCGGGGCCGGGGCAGGCGGGGCGGGGCCGGGGCGGGGCCGGAGGGGTCAAATGGCCCGGGGCCCCGCAGGAGGGGCTTCCTCCCGGCCTGAACTTGGCTGACCTCCGCGGCTTCCTCTGGGAGCCTCCGGGCCTCCCCATCCTCGGAGGTGGAGGGTGAGGGCGGGCGGTTTGCGCGGGTGGGGGCGGGAGAAGGAGGCGGAGGGGGTGTTGACCCGCACAGAACCGACTGCAGCGGGGAGTTTACCCAGGAGGAGTGATTTGGGAGCAAACCAAGGGTCGTTTCTCTTGTCTCCTACTTTTTTTTTTTTTAATTGTCTTGGGTTTTCGAGACAGGGTTTCTCTGTGTAGCCCTGGCTGTCCTGGTCTCGCTCTGTAGACCAGGCTGGCCTTGAATTCCCAGAGACCCGCCTGCCTCTGCCTCCCGAGTGCTGGACTAAAGGCGCGCGCCACCCCTGCCCGGCTCTGAATTTGAACTGTTTTAAGTGTGAGCACCCCTTGCACGCTTAATGACTACGCCGGGCAAAATCTTACTAATTCACTGAGACCCTCGCCGACTGGCCACACTGCTGAGTGCTCCCGCCGGGCAGTGGAGGTGCCTGGGACTCTAGTCTCGGTGTCTGAAGGGATGAGGCCCCGGTGCTCAGCTCGGGTTTTCTGAGAGCGCCGCCCCCGTAGGCGGCTAGTAAAGCCGGGGCTTAGGGAACGCAGAGGCCGCGGGGATGGGGAAGGGGCCTCCTCGGCAGCGGGCTCCTGACGGTGGAGAGGCTGCAGGGATGGGTGGGGGTCGGCTTTTTTTGTCTTCCGAAAACCCGTATCTGCTCCCTGTAGGACTTACCTGACTCGTGACCTCGAGAATCCTCGAGATGGCTTCCCAGAGCCAGGGCCGTGGCGACTTGGGCGGAACGTTGGTAAGAGAGGGTGGTGAGGGGCGCAGTCGGTTCCTCTCCTCACGGGCCTCTGTGGGGTTTCGGAGATTGGGTCTCCCTGTCCCAGCCTGGCCTCGCTAGGATGACAGCCCAGCACCCCAGCCCGACCCCCTTGCAGCCTCTGCACCTGTGACCCTGCCTGTGCAGGTGAAAACAATAGAAGGGGCCACACTTTCCCAGTGTCAATCACCTAGTGATTAACCCTAGGGTTTCACCTGGTCCCGAGTGCGCGGTGAGGGTCCGCCCGCTGGGGGCGTGGTCATGGTGACCCCGTGATGGACAGGGGTCGTGGCCAGGGGAGTACTAAAGGGTAGCGGAGTTAGGAAGGTGGGGAACCAGCGCTCCAGGATCTAGAAGGTTCTGCCGTGCCCTCTGCACATCCAGTCTTCTACCCAAAGAGCCCCCGGGCTTGGAGTTGGGCTTCGCACCTTGTAGTATAGGGGTGTCTGGGAGTTGGGGTGGGGGCTGCAGACTTTATGGTTCTGACCTTTGACCTTTCCAGCCTTCCAACTTCTTGAACCAGTTTTTGTCTGCTGTGGAACAGCTGAGGGAGGACTTCAACAGGTGAGGGCTTCCCTCAGGGCCCACAGCTGCGGGTTGCTGATCCCAGACAGCCAGAAGTACAGCCTGGGTTCCAGTGAACTGTTCATTTTGCTTTGTTTTTAAGCCAGGGGGGTGATTTTTATAGTAGTTCAGGCCGAGACGGGAGGATGGCAAGTTCCAGACCTGCCTGGGCCACACAGCCACCAAAACCTGTCTTCAGAGAAGCACTGAAAAACACTTGTCCAGCTTGTGCAAAGGCCTGGGTCAGCCTTAAGGGTTTGGATGGCATCTTCCCCTCCATTTGCAGATTAGATTAGGTGGCTCATCCTTGTAAGGATTCTGCCCTAGAGCAGATGCATGAGTTTTTTCTAAAGGATCCTCAATTGCTTCCCCCCCCCCCCCCAGGGGCTTCTCTGAAATCATGGTCCGGCTAGACAGCAACACAAGCCTGGTGAGCCTGAGCGGAGGCTAGGCCCATGAGGGTGCCCAGCTCTTCTCCCACCCTACCCCCCACCCAAGCCAAGGCACCTGTGTCCCCATCCGACTTTCCTCTTGCCACCTGGCCCTTTCTCAAGGGCAGTGACAGGAAGGAGGCGCTGCCGAGGGCCAGATGTCGCTGGCCAGAAGCCAGAGCCAAGACTGCATCTCAGCAGGAGGAGGGGGCATGGGCAGCAAGGGGGGGGGACAGGAAGCCCCAAGAACATGGTTGTTCATTCAGGACACTCAGCAGCAGCCATTTGCCAGCCAGCAGAGGTAGCAGGGAAAGAGCCAGGACTGGGCGCTGAAGGGGCCCAAGGTGGGAACCAAGAGCTCCAAGGCGGGGACTGCGCTGTGGGCTGCAGCTGAAGGCTGCAGCTGAAGGGGGGTCAGGAAGATGCACTCAGTAGGTCAGCAGAGGCAGAAAGGATGTTCTGGGAGAAGGGTGTTTTTGGGCAGGAGGGACCAGGCATCTGCAAAGGCTCAGGGCCAGTCTGGGCAGGGACGGGAGGCTGGAGGACACAGGGGTGTGACAGAGAGTTTGGGCGTTGACCCTGTGGTTGGTGGGAGTCCTGGAAAGCTTCAGTGGCCTCAGGGGCAACAGCGGTCACTCAGGGGATGATTGGCAGATTTGCAGGACCAGCTGCTGCCTGAGATATCCTGGGAAGTTTCCGGCAGCTCCCGGCTTCTCCCCCACCCAACCCCTGCTCTATGGGGCTTTCAACCCCACCCCCTTCAAGCCTCACTCTCCAGTCCCTGCTGTGCCAGCGCACACGCCGCCCCCCCCCCATCCCCTGGGAGCAGCAGGAGGGAGCAACAGCTCTCCCTTCATTCACACTGAGCTCCAGGCACACTAAAGTGCCAGTAAATTGCACATTAATGAGCCAGGGGGAATAGGGAGGGCTCCCCTGGGCCCTGGAATCCATCATCCCCTCCCTGGGTCTCCCCTGCTCCCCTACACCCACCCCATCCATTCCAGGGGCTTCTCCCCACCCTCCCCAAGGGCTCCACTCCCTCCATCCCCCCCCACACACACACACTCTGGCTCCAACCCTGGTGTTCTCCCAAAGCTCAGGGGAGGAGCAAAGCTGCTGAACAAATGTCCCCTAGCTGCTGCTGCTGCTGTTGTTGCTGCTATTTTGAGTCTCCAGGCCTCAGTTTACCTGTGTGCAAAGTAATACTAAAGCTTTGAGTCTTGCTGTGGAGGGGACCAAGGGCTTTGTGCATCAAGGGCTGTACCCCAAGCCCTTAATTGTGTTGTTACTGTTTTATTTTTTTTCTTTAGTTGAAGTTTTTGTTATGAGACACAATCTCAAACTCGGTATGTTGCCAAGGATGACCTTGAACTCCTGATCCCCTGCCTCAGCCTTTGCAGGGATCAGGTGTACACCACCGTGCTTGGATGAATAGGTGTGGCTTAGCCCTGAGTGCAGAGAGCTCGCCTCTATCCAGCTCGCTCCCCTTCCCCACATTCGGTTAAGTCCAACCCTAACTTTTCCTAGATGGAAAATTTATCCCAGATGATGGAGACCTTCAGTAGGTCCCAGGGTGTGCTGGAGAAGGTCAAGGTGAGTGTCCATCCTGGGGCTGGAGGGGGCAGGCCGTGTCCTGTGTCTCAAGAGGCTTCACGGTCTCTGTCCAGACCACCCAGGGCTCAGCTAAGGAAGAAACCAAGCAAGTCCCACAGGACCCCAAGTTAAAAGCCACCCCAAGGCCTCAGCCTTGCACCAGAATTCGGTTCCTCTCAGATGCTGATGAGCAACAGGAACAACAGCCCGTCTGGGACAGGGAGCCCCAGTTCTGGCGAGACAGCCTGACCCAGGAACTCTGGGAACTTTACAAGAACCAACAGGGAAACGGGGGTGAGGGTCCCTCAAAGGTGAGGGGGAACGAACGCCTTGGTGTCCCAGCCACAAACCTCACCTCTCTCTCTCTCCCTCCCTCCTCCTTGCCTGTTGTCATGGCACCAGAGAAGCTGCTGGGATTGGTAAGTACCCTTGACGGGGACCCCTGGGCTTTGCCCCAGTGTTCCCCTGCCCTACCCCTGTACCCTCCCACCTCACCCCTGCATTCTGACCCTCCACCCCTGCCCCCGGTGATGTGTCCCCCAGCTCACCCAGCTCTGGCCCCCAGGAAAGTAAAGATTCAGGCCTGCATGACTCTAAACTGGACCGCAAGCTCAGGCACAGGAGCAGTTTGAGTGACTCTGGTAGGAAGGCTTGGCCACAAAGGGGCGGTGCCCCCAGGGGTGAGGGTCCTAAATCCTGCCGTCTCACAGCTCCCTCCATCCTGACCACATCTCCCTCAGACCTGCTTGATGTTCCCCAGAAGGACATCAGCCAGTTGCAGTGTGAGACCCAGGTGAGCGGGAGACCTGGACAGAGGCGGGGAGGGGAGTCACAAGCCAGCAGGGTCAGTTTCTTTCTTTGCACCACAGGAATCTTCTGGAAGGGCTGACACATTTCTGATGCCCCTGTGAGTATGGGTTCTATTGGCCTCTGCAGGGAGAAAGCAGGCTGCCCTGTCGCCCCTAACTCCCAGCCCTGCCTTCCACTCCTGCCTCCCGGTCACTCTCCCCTGTCCTGCTTACTGGCGGTAGAAGGTGAGGGGCCAGTGAAAGGACTCAGCAGGTGATGGTGCTTGCTTCCAAGCCTGGACTTGGGTTTGATCCCTGGGACCCACCTGGTTGGAAGTGAAAAATGACTCCCACAAGTTACCCTGCCTGCCTTCACATGCACAAATTAATGAGTAAACATAAGAACAACTTTTAAAGGGTTGGAGAAGGAATGTCTGCTTAAAACTCAGCACAGATTCTCCCAATCTTGAAGAAAGACAACTTGGAGAAGGGAGTCTAATAATCAGGGTCCTAAGGAGTAGGTAGGAGTTTAGTCTAATTGGGTAAAGCATTTTTAAAATAACATATACAAGTGTTCTGCCTGCACACCAGCAGAGGGCGCCAGATCTCATTATAGATGGTTATGAGGCACGTGTGGGTGCTGGGAATCAAACTCGGGACCTCTGGAGGAGCAGCCAGTGCTCTTACCCTCTGAGCCATCTCTCCAGCCGAGGCAAAGCATTTTAAACAGAGTGGGGGAGCACAAGCGACTATGGCAAGAATTGAAGAGTCTGGTTGGAGCCCGGGGTGCCGGCACAAGGCACGAGTTTGGCTCCTAGCGCTCAAGAGGAGGCGGGAGAATTCAGAGCCAGCCTTAGCTGCATAGTTGGAATAGAACCTGGACTAAGTGGCACCCTGTCTTGAAAACTTCATGCCCTGTGCCCCCCACCCCCAGGTCATGGGACTCCGAGGACTTGGAACACAGCTGTCAAAGGCCTGACGACTTGCTCTGGCAATCAGGTGGTGTCCCACAGGCCCTGCAGAAGGTGCGTGTGCTGAAACACCAGGACCTGCTGTTCTCGATGGCCGTGAGCTGCCTGACGCAGCACGTCTTCACCTGCAGCCGCCGTGGCATCAAGGTGTGGAGCCTCACGAGCGAGGTGGCCGAGGACAGATTCCCCGAAAGCTACTTGCAGTGCAGCGGCCAGGTAAGGGGCAGGGAAGGTGCCTGGCAGGGGGAGGATGCCGGGAGAGCTGCTGGTGAGGCTGGCCCTCCACTCACGGGGACTGTCTTTCGCAGGCCAGTGGGGCCTACCTGCGCACCTGCCTGCTGTCCGCCAATAACAGGAGCCTGTTCGCGGGTGGACACAACCTGGCCTGTGTGACAGTGTGGGATCTGACTGCCCCATCCCTGTACGAGAAGTGCCAGCTGCCCTGCCAGGGTCTGTCCTGCCAGGCGCTGGCCAACACGGAGAGCAGCGTGGCCTTTGGTGGCTTCACAGACGGCACGATCAGGATATGGGACCTACGAAGCCAGGGAGTGGTCAGGTGGGGGACACGGGGCCAGAAGCACAGTGAGCTGAGGCCCCGCCTCCTGACCATGCCCCTGGTCCTCCTTTTATCTTTTGTTTAGGAGAAGTGTCTCCTGTAGCCTAAGCACAGAGGCTAACCTTAAACTCCTGATCCTCCTGCCTTCACCTCCCAAGTTGAGAGAGTGCCTGGCTTATTCATCGTATTACTTGTGGGATGGGGCTCAGGGCAACCTGCCATTTACCAAGTAGATCCTAGAAATGGAGCTCAGGTTTCCTTACCCACAAAGTCACCTGGCCAACACTTTTATTCAGGTTACCTCACCCGGGTCTCAACGTGTAGGCCAGGCTAGCCTGGAACTCAGAGATCCCCCTAGCTCCAGAGTGCTAGGCTGACAGGCTTGCGCTGGCGAGACCTGCTCAGTTTTTAACTTGAGGTCAGATCCTAAACTCACTCTGTAGGATGGCTCTAACTTGCCTCCTGAGTAGCTGGGATGACAGGTTTCAGTCACCATAGCCAGTGTCGGGTCCCATCCCCCATTTTTGAGGCAGGGTCTCACTGTGTATCCCAAGGCAGCCTGGAACTCATGGCAAGCCTCCCCCCTCAGCTGCCTCAGTGCTGGATTTGTAGGTGTGTCCCACCACACCCATGTTGGTGTGGAGCATACACTCCCCTTTAGGGGCAGGGACTTGGGGCTGACCTCGCTGTCCCTTCTGGCCAGAGGCGGAAAACTGCCTGGGGGTTGGGTTGGTAGCAGGGCTTTGGGGGACCTCGGACAGATTCCCAAGCCTAGGCTTACGCCTTTGCTGTCTCTCTGGCCAGGGACTTAGAAGGCCCTGTCAGTGCAGCCAAGAACCTCATGGTCAAAGATAACAAACTCTGGACAGGGGGTCTGGACGCCTCTCTGCGGTGCTGGGACCTGCGGACGGCCAAGGTGGTGGTGGAGTGCACATTCCAGTCCCAGGTGCACGGGCTGGGCTGGGCAGGCGCGGGCCTGTGGGTGGACTCATCGTGGGGAAAGGGGGCATCCCCAGATCAGCTCGATTGACTTTGAGAAGTCGCTAGGGTCTGTGAAACGCCTTGTGCCATGCTGCATATGGTGGTAGAGGCTGTCATCCCAGTACTCAAGCCGAGGCAGGGGGGTGAAAAAGTGAGTCCGTCCCGAGCTACACAGTGAGAATTCTGGCTCACACAAAAAAGGGAAGGGGGCAGGGCTCAGTGGTAGAATGCGTTTCCACCATGCCTGCAGCTCTGGGTTCCATCTGCAGCATCGTGTCAGCTTTGTCACCCAGCACTGGGAAGCTGGAGGTCAGGGTCAGGAGGTTGAGCTCATCTCCAGCTACACAGTGCCCTGAAGGACAGCCTGGCTACATGAAACCCTGTCCCACAGACTGTCATTGCAAATGTTTTATGCTGGACTTCAAGGCTAGCCTAGGCTACAGAGTAAGACCTTGTCTCAGTAAAACTGGAAAAGGGAAACAGACTCTTCCCTCTTTTGTTTTTGTTTTGTTTGTTTTTTGAGACAGGGTTTCTCTGTATAGCCCTAGTTGTCTTGGAACTGGCTATGTAGACTAGGCTGGCCTTGAACTCAGCAGAAATCTGTTTCTACCTTCTGAGTGCTGGGATTAAAGGAGTGTGCCACCTACTACCCAGCTCTTCACAGTCCTATTTTAACCCTGTAAAGTTTGTGGCCTTGTGCCTCTTTTACAGATCAGCAAAGGGGCAAATGGGGACTGACTGTGTGACAGGAAGCAGCGAGGTGGTAGCCAGGCTGTTGAGTCCTGGGGTCCTTGCCACCTGGCAGGCTGGGGTCTGATCTCTGCCTCTGCCCCATTGGTCCTAGATCATGAGCCTGTTGCACAGTCCGACGGAAGACTGGCTGCTGCTGGGCCTGGCCAGTGGCCAACACTGCTTGTTCAACAGCAAGACAAGCCAGGTGCAAACTGCGAGCACCAAGGACAAGACCATCTTAGGCCTCAAGTTCTCCCCAAACGGTGAGAAGGCCACTGAGGCTGGGCGGTAGTGGTGCACACCTTTGATCCCAGCACTCGGGGAGGCAGAGGCTGGCGGGTCTGAGTTCCAGGGCAGCTGAGTCTACAAAGTGAGTCCAGAACAGCCAGGGCTACATAGAGAAACCCTGTCTCAAAAGCAAAAATAAGTGGCCACCCACTGCTCTGACACTCCCTCACCCTAACACCTTTTGTTGCCATAACCTACCTGCAGGGATCAGGCATTTGGGCTCATCTCTGGCTACTTGGGGAGTTTGAAGCTATCCTGGGCTGTGTCATGTCGTAAAACAGCAAAACATAACAAAAGACAAAACAGGGAAGCTTTTATTTGTTTTGCCTTTTTGTTTTCTGAGGTAGAGTCTCATGTAGCCCAGGCTAATCCTCTTCTCACACTGTCAGCCTGCCTGCCTCAGCCTCCCGGGTGCTGGGATGACAGGCACCCAGCGGCCAGATAGTGGGTGGGTGGGGTCACCTGTAAGCTCACTGTCCCCTCTGCCTCCCAGGCCAGTGGTGGGTGAGCGTGGGGATGGACAACCTCATCACTATCCACAGAATGCCCACAGGAGCGAAACTCTTGCAGGTACTTGGGGGGGGGGGGAGGTGCCTGAAGCTCTGGGTGGAGAGGAACTGGCCTCTGTGGGTCCCCTGGGCTCACCCAGCATGCTGTCACACAGGTCCGGGAGGCTGGCTCTGTCACATGCTGTGACGTGATAGACAATGGCAAGCTGGTTGTCACAGGATGTGGGGACTGTGCCTCGGTGTACCAGATCAAGTACTGACAGCTTCAGCCCCCTCCCCCGTCTCTTTCCCCAACTGCACAGTGGTGGGTGGCGGTGGGTGTGAAGGGTTTACAATGATCCTGGAGAGTCCCATGGGCTGTGAAGACCCCTCATCACACCTAATAAACCAATTGAGAAGGCACAGATGGCCTGTCTGTCCTCTGAAGGGATACTGGTCTGTCCATCCCTTCTTTACCCAGGTTTTGGACAGACTTTATGGCTCTGAGCCTTCCAACTTCTTAGTTCTCTATTAATCCCAGCACTCTGGAGGCAGAAGCAGGTGATCTGATCTCTGGGGGGCAAACCAGACCCCCACCCCGCTTTTTGTTTCTAAAGAGAGCTAGGAAGATCACTCAGTTGGTAATGTATTACCAGGCAAGCAGAAGGACCTGAGTTCGAATCCCTGATCCAGCTTTGAGTGGCGGTGGAGGGAGTCTGGAGCTCGCTGACCTGCCTGCCAGGCCACGTTAGGAGGTCTGGATGCTGTTTGAATATCGGCGTAAGAGAGCAATAGAGGCCGGCACCCAGCGGGTCCCTTGCCTCTGAAAGCTTGATGCACACACAGAGGAAGGCGGGTTGATGAATAGGTTATATTTCCCCAGCCAGGAGGGAGGGAGCCAAGGTGTGAGCTGAGGGAACTGTGTCCCGAGTGGCCGTCCAGGACAGGTGACCTGGAGATGCAGGCCGATGGGCTCAGTACACCACCTCATACACAGTGGCCTTCTTGTCCCCCGAGCCTGTCACGATGTATTTGTTGTTCCTGGAGATGTCGCAGCTCAACACAGAAGAACACTCTTTGGACTGAGAGAGAGGGGAGAGGTGAGGGGCAGCCGCGCTTGGCCAGAAGCGACCAGGGCCTTCCAGCAGGGGACCTAGCTAGTGTGACAGGTGACTTAGAGATGTGCCCAACCCATTCCTTCAGATGGCTTCACAGCAGAGCGCCGCCCTGCTCCCACCCTTCCAAGTGCTGGGATCAAAGATCTGGGTCACCGGATCCAGGGCGACGCTGGTACCGTCACATGTGAGGGGTTGACATAAAGAGATTCCACATCACTAAAAGGGTCTAACTCAGAACAGTGCTACCCTGGATTGGAGGCTCCGGGGCAGATGTGAAATTTGAAAGACCACTGTGGGTACCACAGAAGGTTTAAGGGACTTGGCAGAAGTTGCCCTGGAAGCCTGGGACTGAGCGGGGAGAGCTTGCCCAGCACTCGTGCGGCCCTGGCTCCATCTACAGCACCCCCACGCCTACCATCCCACGCTCAGGCAGCCGAGGCAGGAAGGTGAGGTCCAGGCCCCTCTCCAAATTTCGCTTTGTCTACGCTAGAGAAATGAAAATCCAGAGGGAAACGCAGCTGTGCGCTGCAGCAGCTGTCGCACTGGCTGAAGGGAATAAAAGGCCCCAGCACACACGGCGTGGCTAGCCATGAACACGAGCATGGCCCTGACACCGACAACATGGGGGGACCCTGGACATTGTGCTCAGCAAGAAACCCGAAGTGCGGGGCTCCATGACAGGAACCGTCTAGGACAGGAGACTGCAGAGACAGCGGCAGTTGGGGGAGGCAGTACCTGGAAAATGCTGGCCCCATACGGTGTCCTCCAGGCGTTCAGCAGGTTGTCCTTGCCCGTGCTCACGAACCAGCGTCCTGGGGAGGGGACAGAGAGGAGGGAGGAAGGGAGGGCCCAGGATGGGCTCAGCTACCCCTGGGTGCCCCAGTGCTTCCCACCCCAAGCCTGCTACTCTGCAGTGTCAAAAAGCCGAGCGCTGCCCGTCAAGCCCAGAGAACTGGCTACATTTCTCTATGGGTGCCATGGATGGGGGGAGGCTGAGGCAGAAGGATTGCTGCGAGTTCGAAGGCAGCCTGGGCTTCCCAGCAGACACCGTGTCTCAAAATTCAAAGTTGTCTGCTCGTATGAGGAAAACATTGTGTTTTTGAAACTGTTTTATCTTTGGTGTGTGGGGGCCAGAGGTCAACACGGGGTGTCTTCAACAGTTCTGTTTTTGAAATGGTCTCTCTGTGCAGCCCTGGCTGTGCTGGAACCCACTCTGTAGACCAGGCTGGCCTCAGAGATCCGCCTGTGCCTCCCCAGCGCTGGGCTTAAAGGTGTGCGCCACCTCACTTGGTCCATTTTCTTTCTGTGACATCCATGTGTCTGGGCGTTAGACTGGCTTTGACCTCAGTAAGCGGCTGGGTGGACAACCCTGGCTAAATCGTCTAACGAGAGCCTTCGGGACACCCCAGCCTTCCTTACAGCCTTCCCGTCCTGCCCCACGGGGTCCCCTGGCCTGTACCACAGGAAGCAAACTTGAGCGACAGCACGCAGCTCTCGTGCAGGCGGAGCTGGTACTTCTCCGGCTTGCGCACATGCAGGACCTCCACATGACTGCTCTCCATCCCCACGGCCAGCCAGTCCTGGTTGGGACAGTGGCCCAGCGAGAAAATCTAGGGCAAGAAAGACGGTGCTGAGACCTCCGGGCCACTCGTGACGCTGGAGACCCAGGGGTGCCCCACGTGAGCATGAGAAGGTGGCCAATGGTGGCTGTCGCACTTTAGCACTAACGGGAGATGTGCATAACGGCAGGATGCTGGGCAGAGGGCGCCACACAGGCGGCTCAGGGGCCAGGGCTGAGCCTGGCTTCGGACTGATGGTGGTTGGGGGAAGAAAGGGAAAAGAGGCTGAGCACTGAGTCACTCTTCCCTTGGTGGTGGTCATTGTTATTTTGTATTTTTGAGACGTTCTCACTATGGCTCTGGCCAGCTTGGAACTCGGCATGTAGCTTTCAGGCTGAATTCTCAAAGATCCACCTGCCCGCCTCCCCAGCTGCCCGCCTCCCCGCCCTGCCCGCCTCCCCGCCCTGCCCGCCTCCCCGAGCTGTGTCATCACACCCAGCTCCTCCACCTTGTGTTTGAGGCAGAGGCTCTCCCTGACCGTGGAGCTCATTCAGTGGACTGATCTGGCCCTCCCCTGCCTCCACAAGCCTGGGGTCACAGGCCGGTTCTTTATGCCTGTAACTGCCCAGCTTCTTATGCAGATTCTGGGGACTTGAACTCAAGTCCTTGTGCTCGCTGGGCACCTTTGCCCATGAGGCCATCTCCACAGACCCGGTGTCCTGTCGTGGTTCAGGCTGGGGAGGGGCAGGCTGGGTGAGGCCCAGGATGGTGGGGGCACCTGGGAGCTGAAGTCATGCTGCTGAAGCTGGCGCCCCTCACGTAGGTCCCAGCAGCGCACCGTGTTGTCCAGGCCGCCGGTCCACAGCCGGGTCCCATAGTCCGATATGTCAATGCAGCTGGCCCCGTCTGTGTGGCCCTGGAACTGTCTGCGGAGGGAGGGCAGGCGTCCAGGTCTGCAGCCAGCTGCGACCCCCCACTCCCGGGCCGCCACACGCACCTGACCATGGCCTGGTTCTGCAGGTCCCAGACTACAATGTTGCCGTCGCTGCAGCAGGAGAAGCAGACCTTGGCGTCGGGGCTGACGGCCAGCGCGTAGCAGGCCGGGGCGGAGGAGGTCAGCTCTGCCTTGATGCGCGGCGTGGGTGCTGCCAGGTCCCAGATGGACAGGGTGCTGGCCTCGCCGCCTACGATGAGGCTCTGGCCGTCGGGGAGCAGCTTACAGGAACGGATGTAGTTGTCGCGGTTCTGCCAGGGCCAGAAGCAGGCCAGGGGGTTGGCGCTCTGCCAGGTCTCCACAGCCCCGTCCCCCCGCCCCGCTCGGCCCCGCCCATACCGGCCCCGCCCTCACCAGGCAGTCCAGCTGGGCCACGGGTGTCTTGCTGCCCGGCTGGCCCACGTCCCACACCTTCACGCAGCCCTTGCCGCCCGTGTACACGTGCTGCGTGGAGCCGCTGATGGTGACGGCACACACCACCTCGCCGTGGGCCAGCGTGTGCAGCTGCCGGGCGTGGCGAGGGATGCCGGTGCCCACCAGGGCGTCAGACGGGAAGGGCACTGGCTGCATCTGGCCATCCGCGGACACGTGGAAGGAGTAAGCCCTGTGGAGGCCGCGGGGACCGGAGGGTGGGCGGCCCGGCCTGGCCCAGCCCTGCACAGGGGCCCCGGATGGCAGGGACAGGTACTCAGGGTGAAACACAGGCATGTTCCCAGGGACCCTTGCCTCCCACACGCCTTGGGGACGGCGCGGCCCTGTGGTACTCACGGCTTAGCCCCGGGGATGCCAGGCAAGGAGATGGACGAGCCTCTAAGATGTGGGTGTGACTCGAATGCCATCTGCCGGAGGCCAGAGACGTGTCCCGGGGCAGGGCGTGCAGCACCCTTCACCCAGGTTCCAGCCCACACCCCTCCCCAGTCAAGCAGAACCCCTGCGGAATGACTACTTGGGCTTTTTAAATAGCCTCCTGGGCAGGCTCTTGAACCCAGCCTTAGCCCCTCGAGTGAGGGGCTGGGAGCTCAGCTTCCCACATGGACGCTGGACGGGGCCTCCTCTTTCCCCATTCTTTTCTGAAGTGGGGGTTTATGTGGGGGCTGGCCTTGAACTCCTGATCTGCCTGCCTCCGCCTCCTGAGTGCCGGGGGGGTGACAAAGCGGCACCACACGCCCAGTTCAGACGGTGCTGGGATGGCGCCCCAGGCTTTGTGCGGGCCAGGAAAGCACGCTTCTTACTTATCCTGGCTTCTCCCTCTCCCCCCCCCCCCCAGCTCTGCTGACCATCCTTGGTGGTCTGGACCCTGAGGACTCACCAGGGGTGAGCGTCCATATGCGACAGAGCTGCTGACCTGGGGGGACAGGTGGAGGCTGACGTAGGAGCTGGGCACGGACAGGTCCCCGTTGAGGGTGCTGTGGGCCAGGCTGAAGGATGAGGTGAAGGGGCTGGACAGGGTCAGGGGGCTCCTCAGGGCTGAGAAGGGCCGGGATACACGTTCAGACACTCAAATCCCGCTTTCCCTGCCCTCCAGCTGGTGAACTCCTACACGGTCTTCAAAACCCCAGACCCACAGAGAGGATGAAACCAAGGAGCAGAGAGCTTGGGCCACTAGCTTGAGGTCACAGAGCTGGTGAAGGCACACACTTGTCTCACAATCAATCGGGCAAGTCGCTTTGACTCTAGGACTCAGTTTCCTTTCCTAAGCAGTGGCAACAAGGAAACCCAGGCCCAGAGCAACATCTGGCTGGGGGTTAAAAGAAGTTGTAGGTAGGAAATTAGGGGCCTGAGGCCCAAGCCACGAGCCTCTCTCACCCTTTGTTTGATTTACTTTATTTTTTTCAGGCAGGGTCTCGTTATGTAGCCCAGGCTGGCCTTGAACCCTCCCCCACCCAATTAAATGCGTATGCCACCCCAGCCTCTCTCCCCCTTTGTACCTGGTACACTGGGCAGGCAGGGACTCACCGATGCCATCTGAAGACGGAGCTGCCTGAGCCGCTACCTGGCAGAGGTGACTGGCGGAGCTGGGCCCCGGGGTGGATGAGTCCTGGGGTGGGGAGGGGCCACAGGACCTGGAGGCAGAAGTGCCCGTGGGAAGATCCGTCTGTGGAGAAAGAAAGGCTCCTGTCACTGCAGAGCCCACTCTGAGGCCAGCAGAGGAGAGCGAGGGTGCGTGCACACGCACACACACAGACAGAGAGACACAGACCCACAGACACAGACCCACACCCACAGACCCACACCCACAGACACACACAGACCCACAGACACACACACAGACAGAGACACAGACCCACACTCACAGACACAGACAGACACAGACCCACACCCACAGACACACACCCTCAGACACACACAGACAGACACAGACCCACACCCACAGACACACACACAGAGACACAGACCCATACCCACAGACACATAATCTGTGTTCAGTCCCAAACCCCCCACACAAAGAGACACACACACACTCAGACACAGACATACACAGGCACAACACATAGACACACAGACACACAAACACACACACAGACACATGTACATACACACAGAGAGAGACACAAACACAGACACAATCTGTGTTCAATCCCAAAATCCCACATGGTAAAAGGAGAACAGACTCCCTAGAGTTGACCTCTGACCTCCATACGCACATACAACACTTGTGTTCACACAAACACACACAGAGACATACACAGTTTTTAAAATGTTTTTTATTTGTTTTTTGGGTTTTTTTTTTCAGGTGGGGGGGTCTCTCTGTGTAGCCCTGGCTGCTCTGGAACTCACTCTGTAGACCAGGCTGGCCTCGAACTCAGGGATCTGCCTCTGTCTCCCGACTGGAACTAAAGACGGGCCACTACCACCTGGCTTTAAAAAAAGGTTTTAATTTAGAGACAGCCTTCAATCCCAGCACCTCAGAGCAGAGGGAGGTGGATCTCTGTGAGCTCCAGGCCAGCCTGGTCTACAGAGTGAGACCCTGTCTCAAAAACAATTGAAGAAAATCACAGGCTGCCAGAGCAATGGGGCCTTTGGCTCAAGCGGGGTCTTCAGCCCCAGGCGGGGTGCATCACCCACCTCTGTCCCTCCCCAGGGGGAGACTTGATAAATCGGGCGCTAGCCAGGCCTCTGGCTTTCGGAGACATATTTTGTGAGGCAAGGACTCAGGCAGCCGAGGCTAGCCCTAAGCTGACTTTGGATTCTGGATCCTGCAGCCTCCAGCTCCTTGGTGCTGGCTGGCCTGCTGCACCCCGGGGGACTCCCCTCACCATCTGGCCTGGCTGACTCCCACACAGGTCCACACTCTGAGGTGACCCTGGTGGTCTGAGGGACGCCTTGGGGGCTTCTCCAGAGGGCTAGCACGGCCCTGCACCCCCAAGGTCTCTCTGGGTAGGGAGGGGATTAGATAAAATGGGAGCACACTATGGCTGGTGGTTGCCATGGCAACCTGCAGTGGCGGAGGCCTAGAAACAGATCATCTCTCTCCCCCGGTAAAGCGGAGGGCAGAGGGTCTGGGCAAGACCCCGGGAGGGAGTGGGCTTCTGGGCCATCTCTGCAGGGTGCCAGGAGTACCTAACACTGGGGACAGAGCCTCACACCAGCCAGGGGCCGGCGCTGGGGATCCGGCCATTGTGGAAAGTGAGTGACCCCACTCGGGTCCTATTTCCTTGCCCAGCTTGGTCACTAAGTTGCTTTTAAAATGGTTCCTGAGGCTCATCAGAGTCTTCTGGGGGGGGAAAATGGGCCCAAAGAGTCAAGAGAAAAAAGTCATTAGTCACTCAGAACTGGGGAGGTAGAAGCAGGAGGTTTAGGATTCAATGCCATCCGAGACCATACGAAGAGTCGGAGGCTGAGATACTGTCTCCAAATAAAACAAAACGAAAACAAGCGGACGACGCTGTGAGAGCCCACACTGCCCTAGCCTGGTTGCTTTGTCCTGTGTCTGTTTCCAGGCCACCCTGCGGTGAATAAAGTGAGTTTCACACCCCCCACCCTCTTCCTTACCAGGGCCAGGTCTTTGCTTCTCGGGAGCGGTGAGCCCAAACTGGAGGCCAGGGAGGCCGGACTGTCTGCAAGGTCCCTGCGAGCAGACATGCAGACGGGCCCCTTTCCACAGGGGGTGGTCTCAGGGCTGGGGGGCTCTGAGGGTTGGTCCTGAATTTGAGAAGGTGTCATTGAGGGGAAGCTTGAAGAGGGACAGGCTCCCACAGCCGCCACGTGGCCCTCCACTCCGCGGGAAACTGGGAGCCTCCACGGTGGGGCTTGGCCTCACGACTTCCACAGTCCCTCGGGCCTCAGTTTCCCCACCTGTGCTGTAACTGGCATTCCTCCAGAGTCCTCCAAACAGCCTGCTCCACACTCCCCAGTCTAAGTGTGCCAGACACAGCCAGGAATTCCGTCCCTCCCTTGCCCAGCCAGGACCCACTGTCTCACCTCGTCCACGACCAGGTTGTAATCACTCTTGTCTTCATCACTTTCCTAGGGGAGGACAGAGAGTGCTCAGCCTCGGTCATGCCCCTGCCTCCACACCCATGCGCAGCCCTCTCCCCGCCTCAACTCAGCACAACTAACCTCTCATGCAGGCTTGTGGGTCCATCTCCGACCCACTCCCAAGCCGCCCCCCTCCCCCGGCCTCGCTGCCTTCAAGGAGCTGGCCCTCGCTTGCCCGGGAGGCTCCCTTCGACCTTGCGACCTCTGTTCTATAACCCTCTCCGGCTCCCACTGCCCTCTGGAGGAACACTGAGTTCCAGCTTCACTCCCAGATGCTGGACCTGATTCCGGACCCAGACAGCAAGACAGACCACACCTGGAGGGGCCTGAATTCTGAATTCTGCAGAATTGCTGTCTCCCACTTTCCTCCCAAGCACACCTTCCTTTGAGCTGCTGAGGATGGCGCCCAGGGTCTCCTGGAAGCTCTCTGTCCCTAAGCCATGTCCCCAGACTCTCACTGGGGGATTGTAGGCGGGGCTCCACCCCTGAACACGCCCCCAGCCCCTCACTGGGGGATTGTAGGGGGGCTCCACCCTGACCACGCCCCCAGCCCTTTCACTTGGGGATTCTAGGTGGGGCTTAGCCGTGACCACGCCCCCAGCCCCTCACTGGGGATTTCTAGGCAGGTGCTCTCCCTCTGAGCACTGCCAGCACCTCAGCCCACAGTGGAAATATATCAGGACAGCTGCATGGCCCATAGGCTACAGACACTTAGCAGTGAAGCCTAGTAGGACGAAGCGTTTTTTGATTGGCAGGTGCTCCACAAACTATGTGAGGCTACAGAGGGCTATAGAGTGAGCATCACGAGTTCCCATGGATCTGACCAGGAGCCAGTCTGGGTCCATCTCAGTCCACCCCAGTTCTCTGCTTCTCTGTCCCGAGCTCACATAAGGCCCTGACAGATCCTTGTCTTCTCTCTGCTGCTTGCCATTGCCACCACGACTGCTAGGGTGCTCCTCTTCCACCAGACTCTCAGGAGGGGAGGGTGAAGCACTCTACAGGGGGACAGGAGGGGGAACAGTGTAGGTGGGTTCTCAGACTATTCTCAGCCGACAATGAGTGACCCTCACTGGGGAATTCTAGGCAGGGCTCCACCCTGACCACGCCCCCAGCCCCTCACTGGGGGATTCTAGGCAGGGGTTCTCTCTCAGTCTCAGTGCTTAATTCTCTGCCTCTGTAAGCTAATGCAGCAATAGATAATCCTATTGGACATGTGGGGAAACGGAGTCCCATGAAAATGCATTACAGTGGGACTCTTAACCCACCAAACACCGATAGCCACCCCTTGAGAGGGATGGGAACTCTCAGCAGAGCCAGACCAAGGCCGAGGAGAGCCTGCATGAGGACCCAGGAGGGTCTTGCTGAGGCACTCCAGTATAGCAAAACTTAAGAGACTGAGGCAGAAGGATTGCCATGAGTCCAACGAAGCGTGGACTACAAGCAAGACCATGCCCCAAATTAATAACCATAGCTGGCTTGGTGGTGTACAATTCTAATCCCAGAACCCAAAAAGCAGAGGCAGGGGGGTCTCTGAGCTGGAGGCTGGCTAGGGCTGCATAGTGAGACCCTGTTTTGGAATAACGGCGCTTGCACCTCGTCCACCAGGCCCAGCACCACGTGCACAGGGTGTGGTGGCACAGGGATCATCCAGCCCCAGGCGGTGAAGGCCTGGGGACTTGCCGAGCAACCCCCCCCAACCACATGAACATAGGCAAATTGTCACAGATGTCACTCACCCTGCTCACAGCTCTGTCCACTGGCGAACGGCAGGAAGCCAAGAGAAAACAGACAATTAAGGGTTGGTACAGGGCTTCAGAGTACAGAACAGCCCCTTCCCGGTCAGAACGCGCTGCCGGCCTCCCACATCCCGGGGAGACGCCCAGAGACAGCCAGAGGTGTTCCCAAGGAGACCCCCACAGATGCAGCCTCCACTAGCCATTCTCCTCCCCTCCAGGGTCGCCCTGGCCACCCACTCACCTCTGGACCCTTCGGGGTCCGAACCCACGCGGTCTTCCTTGGCGGCAGCCGCCAGCTGAGCCTGTGCAGCCAGCGCCCCGGACAGGGCCAGCAGCCCCGTGGCCCCGGCACCCACCAGGCCGGCCGGGCGAGGGGTGAGCGGCGCAGGGGGAGCGTGGGAGAGCGGCTGGAGCTGGTTCTGCTGCTGAAGGGGGAGAGGACAGCGGCGGGGGGCGGGGGCAGGGGCAGGGGTGCAAGGAGGGCAAACGGGCATGAATGCAGGTTAGCACCCATAGGGTGCCCGGGCTGGGCGCAGGGCGTCCCCGAGGAGGGGCAGGAACTCACCCCCAGGAGGCTGTTCAGTTCCCCCACGGTCACCTGCTTGGCTCGGTCCACGGCCTGGAGGACCTGCTGCTGGTGCTGCCGGGGTGGGAGGGGTGCTGAGTGGACAACAGGGCGGCCCAGCCTGCCTCTGTCCATCTGTCCGTCTGCCTGCCTCTCTCTGTGCATCTCAGTCTGTCTGTCTCTGTGTGTGTGTCTCCGTCTATCTGTCTCTTTCTGTGTCTCTGCTTATCTGTGTGTCTTTATCTCTCTTGTGTCTCTGTCTGTCTCTCTGCCTTTCTCTCTGTCCCTGTCTATCTGACTCTGTCTCTTTGTTTCTCTGTCTCTGTATGTTGAGGGCAGAAGCAGCTGCTGGCTGCCTTCCACCTTGTTTTGACATGGGGTCTCACAGCCCAGCTGGGGTCTGGCCAGCGGCCTCAGGGTCTGCTGTCCTGTCTCCCATGGTGAGAGCCACCATGCTTGTCTTCTTCCAGGTGCTGGGGATCTGAACTCAGCAAGAGCTTTACCCACTGGACCACCTTCCCAGCCCCTCTCTGGTTTTTGAGGCAGGATCTCACTCCCAGCCCAGTCTGATCTCAAGCTCCCAGCAATCCTCCTGCTTCAGCCTCCCAAGTGCTGGGATGACAGTTGGGATGATGGGAACTGACAGCTCAGAGTCCGGGCCTCTTCCCCAGGCTCTGGGGCAGAAGCCGCAGGCAGCGCTCTGTAGGACATCCTGAGGGCTGCTGGGCAGGGTCCCAGCCACTAAGCCCTTGCCAGGAGCTCAGCGTGATGCCCCGCTCCAGCCCTGTAAAAAGCTGTGTCATAAACAAGCACCCACTTTCCAAGTACTCACAGATGCCAAGCACCCACCCCAGGAGCAGCCCAGGGCTGGGCGCTCAGTGTGGGAGAGGGCCCACCCAGCACTAGCAGCATCAAACACAGATGATTTCAATAGACTGGAGCACACATGGCCCGTGGCCCTACGTGGGACGTGGGGTGGCGAGGTGTACCCCTGGCCTCACTGTGAGGTGATCTGTCGCCTACGCTCAGGGGTAGCGGGTTCCACAGAAGAACTCTGAGGTTGCTGGCTCTGTGGGGTACCCAGTGTGACCACCCTGAAGTGGGACCTGCGCATGTGCCTGGAGGAACATCTCCACACAGAAGAGGCAACGGCCAACACCAAGGTCCTGTGGCCAGCGGGAGTGAGGCATTGCTTCTACTGGCCACGGAAGCTTTCTGATGTTTCAACGAGCAGCTCACAGCAGCCCCCCTCTGTCCACAGTGACTCTGTGTTTTCAAAATCACTGGACTAACAACACCTGACAGAATTTACTCTTCTGAGCCACTTCAAGCCCACGGCTCTGAGGCATGATGCTCATTCACAGGGCTGCGCGGCCTTCCCCGACATCAGTCTCCAGAACCTTCCAACCACGTGCCTTGGAGCTCTGTCCCAGGCCCTGCTCACCTCTCCCACCCCACGGCCCTGGGTCTGATGACTTCAGGGTCCTCAGGCGTGAACCTGAGGAGAACCTGGTGTGTGGCCCATCCCCCAAGCACCTTCTGTAAGGATTAGCCCTGCGCTTGTTCACCTAACCCTCAGGACACGCTAACCAGGAGAGGGGCACGAGCCCTGCGTAAGGTCACCAGCCAGGACACACACCTGCAGGTGTGAGCAGTGAGGGGCAGGTGTCCCCCTAGCTAGCCATTCGGAGCAGAGAGCCAGGGTTGTGAGGAGAGGGAGCGTGTGAGCCTGAGGACCAGATTCCAGCTCCCAGAAGCCCCGAGGAAAGCCAGGCACGGTGGTACATGCCTGCATCCAGCATGGGTGAGGAGACAGAGCTGGCTAGACGGCATCCCCAGCCTGGCGAACTTTCAGGCCAGCCAAGAGTCTGGTCTATTAAAGGGCTGTGGTGTGGTGAGATGGCTCAGTAGGTGAAAATGACTGCGGCCAAGCCTGCTGACAACCTCAGTTCCATCCCTGAGAACCACAGAGCGGGAGGAGAGGACCCGCTCTGGCAAGCTGGCCCCTGGCCTCCACACGTGTGCTATGGCCCACTCATTCCCCCCCCCAAAAAAAAGTAAATAATGGGTTGGCTCAGTAGTTAAGAGCACTGGCTGCTCTCTCAGAGACCAGAGTTCCATTCCTGGCACCCACACAGTGGCTCACAAATCACTTGTGACTCCAACTCCAGAGAACCTGACGCCCTCTTCTGGCCCCTGAGGGTACTGCACACATGCAGCGCACAGCTCTGCAGGCAAAACACCCGTACAAATAAAATTAAATAAATACATAAAATTGTGCTAAAAGCAAATGAAGATGGATGGCACAGAAGAAGGACACCGAGACTGACCTCTGGCATCCTCAGGCATGCGCACACAGATATGTGAGGAGCAGAAAAGTCCCTGGTCCTCACCCTCAATCCACTTGGTCCCTTCAGTGCGGCAGCCATTGCACAGCATGTTCTGGGCCCAGGACACCCGCCCTGTCCCTTCCCTTCCCCACATGCTCCGCACAGGCACACTCACCTCCTGCGTGAGGAATGGGACTATCTGGGCGCAGATCGCGCTGAGGCGTTTCACGATCTCAGCCTGGCAGGGAAGCAACAAGTTGGATGGGTCCAGAGGAGACAGCCACCTCCATCACCCAGCCCCCGGGTGTCCCGGGCATTTGTGAGCTGACTGCCAGCGGAGTCGTGGCCTCCCTATGCTGCCAGCCAGAGACACCCCCTCCCCATTGCCCCAGGAAGCCCTCAGAGATGCCAGCTTAGACCAACAGCTTCTCAAGGCCGCACTGTGGCCATCTTCCAACGTCCTAGAGAAGCTGTGTGAAAGGGCGTGTGCCCAGCTGGCATGCCCTTTGGGGGTGCTCTGTGGTCTCCTCTGGTTCCCAACTGGACCCGTGTCCTCCACCAGGGAAGGGCAGTTACTGTATGGACGGGGGGGGGGGGCGGCCCTCCCACTGCTCACATCAGCACTGAGGCCCACGGAAACCCAGGGAAGCATATGGCAGGCCAGGCACGCCGGTACCCACAATCCCCATCCATTCTTCTTCTAACAGCAGGGAGCCCAACACTGGGCTCTGCCATGGGTCTCAGGGGCAGAGTCTATAAATCCATTCATCTGCAGGTCTCTGGGCCCTCAGGAACCCCTAGAGCTGCTGGCCACTTTGGGGACCCAGGGTTAGCTACAGACCTCTGGGGTCAATCTCTACAACCCAGAGTACATTTCAGAACCCCAGCACCACATGCTTAGAGCCTGGGACCAACTTTGTAACTTGGAATGCTATCTCAGAACCAACCTTCAGGGCTAGCTCAGAACCAACCTTCAGGGCTAGCTCAGAACCCTGAGTTCTCAGAACCTTCAGTTCTCAGAACCTTCAGGGCTATCTCAGAACCAGCCCTCAGAACCTTCAGGGCTATCTCAGAACCTTGAGTCCTCATGACCTTCTGGAATCCATCACAGGCTCCCAGGGTCCATCACAGGCTCCCAAGGTCTATCACACAGCTGCAGAGTGTCTGCACTGCAATGGAGCCCCTACTGGGACGGAAGTTGCCTCCAAGACCATCTTGGCCTAGGGCCCAGGCCCTCCTTTGTGGGGACCCTCCACTCCCCCTGCTCTTCCCACTCAGGCCGCCTTCCCTAAGTGCTGAGACTACTTCCTGTCACAGACTAAAATCTCCCGGCAGATGCCCGAGGAGGCCAGGCCCCCACGAGTGTGCTGAGCCCTCCCCCAGACGCCCCGCCCCCGCAGTCACCTGCTTATGCATCTCAATGTTGAGCCCGTAGGACATCTCGTAGTACTGCAAAGGAGACAGTCTTGGCCAGTGTGGACAGCCAGCCCACCCTGGGAGCCCTGAGGGGCCCAGCTGGGGGGGGGGGCAGGACACAGATGTCTCATGTGGACCCAGTTGGGGGATCATGGTTGGGCTCAGAGAGATGGGACAAGCAGGCAGTCCCTAAGACGGGGTGGGGGGTGGGGGGAGGGAGGGGTACACACAGAAGGGACAGGGTGGACCTTACCATCACGTAATGCCTTTGCATTTCTGTCTTCTCGCTGGCCAGCTTCTCACACTCCAGCTTGAGGCTGGGTGGGAAGATCAGACAGAAAAGGGGGAGCTCCCTTGCCACAGCCCACATGGGTCAGTTTCCACAGTGACAGGTGGGGGATGCCTGTTCCCCACTTTTTTGGACACTGTTCCCAGCCCTGGTGAGGTCAGGCCTACTCTCCCGGGATCAAACCCTTCCTCAGGGAAGGCTTTCCTAGAACCTACTCACCTCACCCTGGGAGAACCACCTCTACCAGGAAGCCCTCCGGTAGGCCCGGGGGTGAACTCCGCCCCTTGCCCCGGAGACCACACCCTCTCCAGGATGCCCCGCTCGAGCACACACATCCCTGGGGCCTCCCAGTGCCCAGAGCTGGGGCCCCCTCACCTGTGGTATTGAGCTTGGAGAAACTGGAATTCCTCTTTGATCCGGTCACAGATCTCCAGGACTGAGAACTTGAAAGGCTGGCCAGATTGCAGAGGGCTCTGAGAGGGGCAGAGGGGAAGGGCATGGGGTGAGTTCCAGGGCACCAGCAGGTAGGGGTTCCCTCCTTCGTCCCCACCTCCTGCAGCCTGGAGGTCTGCGTACTCACCGGGTGCCTTCCCTGGGGGTACATCCTGTTGATGGACGGGTGGGAGAAGGGTCCCCCCAGCTTCGCGGAGGCTTGAGATGTGGCAAAAGAAAAACTGGGGTGCAGAGCTAGAGCTGGGAGAGAAATTTAGGGTGCAGTGCTGGGGTTGGGAAGAGAATGTGAGATGCGCGGCAGGGCTGGGGATAGAATGTGGGGTGCGGGGGCGGAGCTGGTGGTAGAATTTGGGGTGCAAAGCTAGAGCTGGGGTGCAGAGAGACTGAGGCTGGAAAAGCCGGGAGAGAAGCCGGAGCTGGGGGAGGGATTTTTTTACGCAAAGAAAGAGCAGCCAGGGAGAGCCTACCGGGGCAAGGGACGCGGACCCCGCGCTGCGCCCCCACCTCCCGCCAGCGCGCCCCGGATCGTCCAGCCCGGGGGCAGCTGCAGTCTGCACCGCAGGTCCTTGGCCGCCGCCCGGGGTCGGCGCTGGTGGCCGCGGTGGCTGCGGAGCCGCCTCCCTCCGCGGGGCTCGGCTGGGAGCCGCGGGCGGGACCCGCCTTAAGGTGGCACCACCGCCCCCGCCTGCTTTGCTTCCTCGGCTCCCAAGACCCGCTGGGGAAACTGAGGCGTGGGTTGGAACCTAGTGTTCCCGCTCCACCCCCACTCGAAAGAGAGAGAGAGAGAGAAGTTAGGGGGAAAAAAAATCTCAGTGCGCGCTTTGGGGGCCCTGGGGCTGCCAGTGGCTTCTCTGACCCAGAGAGACACTGCGCCCATGAAGGATAAACACCCTCAGGCACGAGGTAGAGACACACACCTGTCCCAGAAGGGCAGACCCAGGCTACGCTTGCCAGCCAATGCTGCCCCGACTTTGGGGAGGACCAGGACGGAGCCCAGGGCAGCCTGGCCAGGCTCAGAGCCCAGGGCTGACCTGCATGCTGGTACCACTCCCAGACAATTGGGTGGCCTCCTCCGTGAGGCTGAGACCAGACACCTCAAACTTAGTACAGAAAACCAGAGCATCTTAGGCGGGGCTCCACCCTGACCACGCCCCCAGCCCTCACTGGGGCATTCTGGGCGGGGCCCCACCCTCGCCACGCCCCCAGCCCCTCACTGGAGAGTCTAGGCGGGGGCTCCGCCCCTTTTACTTTTGAAGACAAGGCCCTGATAAGTTGCCTCTCCAAAACCTGAGCTTGGAACCCTGTCTCAGCCCCTTTCTCAGCTGGGATGACAGGCCTGTGCATTTGGGCTCATTCAAGTCTGAATGAGCCCAACTGTGTCTCTCAGAGCTGAGAAGCCACTTGTCACCAGAGAACCCTTCCCAGGAACCAACCTTTGTTTCCAAATCTGGCAGAACCGGACAGCTCTTTACTCAATAGTTTTACACTGAAGAAACCCCAGAAGCAGGCGTTGGTGGTGCACGGCTTTAATCCCAGGACTCAGGAGGCAGAGGCAGGCGGGTCTCTGAGAGCGAGTTCCAGGATAGTCAAGGATACACAGAGAAACCCTGTCCCAAAACCAAAACCCTGGAACAGGCTGTGAAACAATTAAAAAAGTAAATAAATGGGGCGGGGGGGCGGGGAGGAAAAACAAAATAAAGAAAGGGAGGAAGAAACCTCATCGTTCTGTCATCAGTAAAATGTATTATGCCTGTATTATGCCTGTGGACTGCTATGCGCCGGGAAACAGTGGGTCACGATCATGGGGAAAAGACCTCACACCCAGACTAACATTTGGACTTCTGTTATCTACAGGGGACAAGGGCCTCTGCGGGACTCGTGGACAGTGCTCTGTAGCGGAAGGATATTAGCCGAAACCCAGGACTTCCAGCGTGAAAGGACAGATCGGAGCTCTCTCTGATCAAACCGGGAGATGAGCCACAAACCAGCCAAGATCACAGCTGTCTGGTCAGGAGCCGCGTGTCCACAGCAAGAATGTAGACAGGCGATGACAGAGGGTAACAAACACGAGCCGCTGGTGCCATATGTGTGAGGGAGGGCTCCGTGAAGCTGACGTCGTAGATGGAACCTTACAAAGTCCGTGGGCCCAGAAAGTGACAGTAAGAAAGACCCAAAGATTAGCCCTCTTGAGCGTTCACTAACTCCATGGAGAGCCACTACCACGTACAATCTCCGAGTGTGGGGGCTGAGGGCGTGGTCAGGGCGGAGCCCCGCCTAGAATTCCCCAGTGAGGGTGCCGGGGGCGTGGTCAGGTAGAGCCCCGCCTAGAATTCCCCAGTGAGGGGCTGGGGGCGTGGTCAGGGTGGAGCCCCGCCCAGAATCTCCAGTGAGGGGCTCGGGGCGTGGTCAGGGTGGAGCCCCGCCTAGAATCCCCAGTGAGGGGCTGGGGGCGTGGTCAGGTGGAGCCCCGCCTAGAATCCCCCAGTGGGGGCTGAGGGCGTGGTCAGGGTGGAGCCCCGCCTAGAATTCCCCAGTGAGGGCTGGGGGCGTGGTCAGGATGCAGCCCCGCCTAGAATCTCCCAGGGAGAGGCTGGGGGCGTGGTCAGGGTGGAGCCCCGCCTAGAGTGACCCAGCGAGGGGCGTGGTCAGGAGTGGAGTCAGTCTCTGGAGTGAGACCAGCCTGGTCCAGCCTCAAACCTTCGCAGATGCCGTACAGTGAGCGGTTCCTTCTCCGTGGAACATTCTCTCCCGGCTCCGACCACTCAGCTTCTCCCCTGCAAAGGCCTCTCCTGGTACACCTGAAGCATCTCCCAGCACCTGCTACCCGGAACTCACCTTTACTCCTCCGTCCTGGTTTCTGTGAGACTGGTCTACTCTCTAGTGATCGTTTTTCCTTGTAGGTCGTTCTGTCCCTGTGGCTGTCCAGGCCACAGACACCCCACCCCACCCCAGCAGGGCCTGGCTCAGAACTGAAGCGGGCAGTGGGGCGAGACCAAGGATCACACTGGCTCCCGGGGAGTCTGAGAAAACAGTACGTCCCACACGCCACCCCCAGGCGCCGCCGATTCCTGACTCCCAGCTCTTGGGGTCAGAGAACTTCTGATCCCCGGAGGCCCTGGAACCCCAGAATCTCCTCCCCCTGCGCCATCGCCTTGGCCAGCCCTCTCCGTCTCCCCAAATCAAGCTCTCAGTCTGGGGAGCCAGGACCGCAGGTGTGTGTCACCATGTCACTGGACAGTTCCGAGACCAGCCGCCCTCACGCCCCACGTATCCTTCCTGCTAGCGACGCTCGGTGCTCTAACCCTGCACAGCCTCCCCTGGCTCCCTGTTACCCGGAGGCCACAGTCCCTCTTTGCATTATTTGTGCTAGCCACACTCCGCGCCAGCACCCTATCCCGGATGACCTAAAGGACCTAATTTGAGTTCTGACTCTTGGGTTCTCATTTCCTGGAATCTCCCCCCGCCCCTCCACTGCTATCTCCATCTTACTAAGATCAGCCCAAGCCCACCCTCTGCAGCCTCTCCACAGAAGGCCAGCTATGAAGAAAAAGCCAAGGTTAAGAGGAACTCCCCCACCCCCACCCCAGAGAGGGTCAAGGCCTGAGTCTAGGACCCAAAGGGCTTCCTGGAGAAAGGGGGCCACTGCCTCTCTGTTGTGCGACCAGGGAAGCCACAGGCTCTGAGCCTCAGTGAAAGCGGAGGATATGATCTGGGGTTTCCCTTGGGACACCCCATCCGTGGGGTGCACAGCCATCACACCCAGCGAAGTGGGGAGCACCGGCGGAGCCTCCCACCCTCTGAGCCGCCTTTTCCCTGTCATCCTGGTCCCCGGGTTCCCCAGTGCGCCCCCTGCCTCGGTGCACGCAGGCTCCGCGGTTCTCCACGGTGCGGAGAAAAAGCAGAGAAAAGAGGGAAAAGGCTGCGACTCTGAGCCGGACGCGGGACTGCTCGGACCACCTTAAATCAGACTGGCCGCCCCGCGGCCGGGGATGGGCCTACCTCCGCCGTGGTTGGCCGGACGCGCCCACCAATCGCCTCCCGAAGCTCCCACATGGGTCTCTGACGTCACCCGGAGCCATGGCCAATGAGCTCCGGGTACTCGGCAGCCAATAGCAGAAGGCGGTGGGCTGGGCTGGGCCAATAGGAAAGCTCCCGGTGGGGCTGGGGAGTGCGGCTTTCCCCCACCCGGAGAGAGTGGGGACCCGCGTGGTGGTCCCTTAGCATCCCGGGTCCCTTTTAGAAATAAAAGCCCCTTGAAGCCGGCTGTGGCAGAGGATGTCTGCTATCCCAGCATTTGAGAAACTGAGGCAGGAGGATGATTGAGGTGGAGACCAAGGTGGGCTACTGTCTCAAAACATCTCATATTAAAAAAATATACATATCTATAAGTCCCTCACTTCAGTGACTACTTGCCAGGGCCCGGCAGCCACTGCGCCCTTCGGTCTGTTTTAGAGATAGGTAAACTGAGGCAAAGAATACCGAAGTCACCTTGGCCGCCTAGGGAATGGCTGAGATTTTCTTTTTATCCCGGTTCGCGTCCAAAGCTTGTGTCTTTTGACCCATTAAATCACAGGAGGGGGTGGAACGGGCTTACAGGAAGTTGGGAGTTTAGAGGTGCTGAGCGTGCCTCGGTTTACCAGCGAGGACATTGCAGCTGCTAGCAAGCGTTCTAGCTAGGGAGGGGGCAAAAACTACATATCCCAGAAGCTCCCGCGCGCCGCATCGGCTCAGGCTGTCAATCAAAGTAACGTGGGTCCGCTCGGCCCGCGCCCCCGCCCGCCGCGTCCCTCCTGCCAGCTCCCGCTCCCTCCCCGCCGGCTCCCGGCCCAGCGCGGTATAATTACAGCCCATTGATCCGACCCGGGCCGGGAAAGCGGCTCCCTCAGGGAGGCCAAAGCCTTTGGCTTCCGACAGCGCCAACCTCCCCCTCCCCGCGCCCCCAGCTGAGCCACTGGGCCACCAGCCAGGCCGGTCCCCTCCTGCTGGCCCATGGCTCGCGGGTGACCTCTGAGCCCTAGCTCCCTGCCTGGCTTGGCAGGAAAAAAAAAAAAAATCATGCACTCGCGCTCACATACATTCATTTTCTCCCCCAGAACATGGGGAGCTACCCCTACCCCAAACTTTGTGCCTGGTTTTCCCAGAGAGTTGCCCCCTGCTGTGGCCCGGGCTAGGCTAACAAGGGGACTCAGGAGGAGATAAACCCGGGAAGGCCGAGCCTGGAGTCACAAAGCTGCTTAGAAAAGTCCCAAGGCTTCCTAGATGTAGCGTTTTTTTATACTGGGGTTCTGCAGAGAGCATAGGAGTTGGCTCATTAGCAATCCCTCTAACTAAATGTTGGTCGAATTAAAGTGGGGAGCTCTGACGCCTGGCCTTGCTTGTGGGCCCCTGAGTCAGCTTCTGACTGTGACTGGGGGAAGTAGAGGGAGGGTGGGCTGCAGCTTTGGCACGCGGGGGAAGCACCAGGGTTGGCTGAGGATGTAGGGAGCCGCATTTTCTTGCTAGACAATAACTGAGCAGCTAGGTGGATGAAGGGGGCTTGTGAACCCTGGAACCCTGCTCTTAGGGGGCCGTTCCAGGCCTCCTCCTGAACTAGGAGGTTCCAAAAAAGACTTACAGTGAGGTTAGAAAATGCTTACCCACATGGCATGGGTAAGCATTGCACACCTTTAATCCCAGCACTCAGGGAAGCAGAAGCAGGTGGATCTCTGAGTTCCACAGAGTGAGTTCTAGGACAGCCAGGGCTACACAGAGACACCCAGCCTTGAAAATAAAGAGGGGGAGGAAGGAAAGAGAGAGAGAAAGAAAGGAGATGTCACTCTGCACCACGCAGAAAGGCTGTGACTTTATTTCCCAACATCTTTGATTACCCTCTAAAAGGTGAACCCTGTCTCAGTGTTCACCCCAAGCTCAAGGACATTCCATAGCTCCCAACTGTCCTCAGGAACATCTCTAAACTGCCCAGCTGTGTGACAGCAGGCTGGGACCTGGAGGCCCTTGCATCTGCTGCAGAATGCCAGACCTTGGCTAGTGAGAGGCAGGGTCCTGGTGAGGGTGGGGACCAGGCCTAAGCGGGCCGGCTCCCTCGGTTTCTGTAGCGGCCATGCCTATCCTGGTCGCCTTCTGTTCTTCCAGTCACCTCTTGCCACTGTGCAATCTGCCCCATTTCTTGCCTTCCTGCCCTCACCCCCATTTTATGGGTGTCCTGGGGGAGGAGGGCTGCCGGGGTCCCTGGCACACAGTCACAGCCTGCATATTGTGATGCCTAATAAATACTGAAGTTAGCCCCGTAGGAACAGGTTTGGTTGGTTCTGAGGGTTTGTGTTTTGGGGGGGCCTCCTTTTCTGGGGCTGAGGATGAACCCAGGACCTGGTCCATGCTAGCCGGGAAAGCTCCCCTACTGCACCTACTAGGCCTTGTTTCTCTTTTATCCATCTGGGTTGCAGGACAGTAAAACTGACCCAGAGAGGGCTGGGGACCAGCCTGGGGCCAAACAGCAAAGCGAAATAGCTCTTTTCATGAGCCAGGATTGGGGGCCACCAACCCACATCTAAGGCCAAATACAGGCCACCTCTACCCCTGCTCCGGGACCTTAGCCACAGCAGAGAGACCAGAGGGCCACCTGCAGGCCTGGATGGGGAGCTGGGAGGAGGAGGGGAAGAGATATGAAGCTGGAGGGGGAGGAGGAAAAGGAGAGCAGAGAGAAGAGGAGGAGGAGCAGGGGAGGGGAGGAGGGAAGGCTGCAGCAAGAGGCGGTCAAGGTTGTCTGGGGCTTGGCTGGCAGCCAGCAGCCGGGCCCAGGGAGCCGGGTGGTGGAGCGGTTTGTAGGGGAGGGTGAGGAGGACACACGTGGGAAGAGGAGGAGGGACTCAGCAGGAACAGCAAAGGATAAAGAGCTTCACAGCCTGAGGGAACAGAGAAAGGGGGTGCAAATCAGAGGCAGAGCTGCAGGAGGACCCCAAGAGGCAGCAGCAGCATGAGGTCTCCCTCTCTGGAGTCTAGCCTCAGTTTCCCTCTTCATCCTGGTCCCAGCTGATCTTGTACTACTCACATCTGCTCCACTCTCCTGCTCAAACACCCACCAAGGCTCCTGTGGCCTCTGGCACCCCAGCAGGACCGAGGTGCCCCTCTCCATGAGCTTTTGAGCAGTTTTCTCTCCCGGAGCTCAGAGCATCTGCGGGGGGGGGGGCGGGAGGGGAGGGACACTGGGTCCTGGAGACGCAGTGCTGCCACAGTGGCCTGTCCCGGGGTCAGAAACTGGCAGGAAAAAGACCAGGAAAGGAGGTCACTCCCTGTCCACCACTTGGGTCTAGTCTGGTCTGGCTGTTCCCCCCCCCCGTCCCTCCCTTCCCCACATCACTATTGTAAACTTCTCTTTTCTCCTCTTACACTAAAACAGGTTTTGAAAAAGTTGGATTTTAGCTGGGTGGTGGTGACAGATGCCTTTAATCCCAGCACTGGGGAGGCAGAGACAGGTAGAGCTCTGTGAGTTCGAGGCCAGCCTGGTCTACAGAAAGCGTTCCAGGACAACCAGGGAAACTCTGCCTTGGAAAAAACAAAAAAAAAAAAGCATGCTTGGCTATGGACCTGATCCTGTTGCTTCCGTCTCTGGGCTTCTCTCCTGTTCAGGTGTCAGCTGAAGCCAGGTAATGCCCAGCAAGCTTCGGTGCTGGTTTGGGGATACTGTCTTGGTCTCCCCCACTGGCTGTCTTTATAGGGGTCCCCAACAAAAAGACTAGCCGCCCAGAGGGGACTAGCCTTCTTTTGTAGCCTTCCTGTGCTTCATGGGCCTCAGTTTCCCCATCTGCACAACAGGAAAGTGGGGCATATCTGAGACCCACTTCACCATCGTCACCCCAGGATGAGCCTTAGGGTGCAGTCTCTCAGGCCAGGTGGAGGGGGACAGTCGTTGCCTGAGGTGTCCTCTCCTTGCTGGGGACAGGGTAGGACAGGGTAGGGTCTGTGTGAGCCCTGGGCCCCCAGCCTCCATGAAGCCTGTGGGAAGTGGCCTGGCCCTGTGGGGACTTATAGTCCCAAGAGTTTCCAAGCCACAGGCTGACCCCAAAATTAAAGATGTCAGAGCCACAGAGTGGATGGGGCCACAGAGCCAGAGTAGTGGAAGATCCCCTGGAGGACTCCAGAAAATCAGCAAAATCCCTGAGGAAGGGACATCAGGAAGGGGGTCACTGGTCCCTGACGCTGCCTGTTGGGCTCCAGTCTTGGGCATGAGTTGGGAACCTCATCCCTCTCCCCGCCCCTCCTCCCTTCATCAGCCACCAACAGCCCTTCAGCTGATCAATTTCCCAAGGTCAGGCTGCTCAGTGCTTCCTGGGAACGCCCCCCCCCCCCAGCCCAGCTGCTGGCAGGACTCTCCCACAGGAGCCCTGGGGACAAAGGGACCCCGATTCCGACTCCTCCAATTGCTTGCCCAGAAGCACAGGTTGGAGAAGCCTTGGTCACTCTCGACGCTCTGACTCTTTAGCTTAAGAACCCAAGTAGGCACAGTACCCCAAGATCCAGGGTGAACTCCAGGCTTCATGGGGCTTGGGCCTGGGCTCTAGCGAGAACCTGCACCAAACACAAATGTAGTCTGGGTATCTCTATGAGGCCAGCCTGGTCTACACAGTGAGTCCATGTCTCAAAAAACAACGAAAACTAGGCCAGTGAGACAGCTTCGCTGGTAGAGGAGATTGCTGTGAAGTCTGGCAGCCGGAGTTTGCTCCCCAGGCCACAGGGTACTCCTCGCTGCACGGTGTCCTCAGACCAGACACGCACACAACAAACCAGTAAATGTGAAAAAGTAAAACGAGAAACAAAAAAAAAAAAAACAAAAAAAAAAAAAAAAGGCCCCAAACAGATAGGCATGCTGAGGCTTCCCAGTTGAGAGCACTCAGGCTCTCTCTCAGATAACCAAGGCACTCTGGAACAACACTGAGCTTGTGCTGTGCGACCCCGGTCGCCAGCTCATCCTCTCTGGGCCTTTGCTTGCTCCAGGGAGGTCTTGTTGTGGGACCCGGGGTGCCCTGAAATAAAGGGGTCCCCACCCCACAAGACAGAGGCAGGGACACAGCAGCCAACCTTTTCATGTTTTTATTTTAAAGGCACAGCTAGACCCCCACCCTTAGGACAGCGACCCTCCACCTCTCTCGGCGGAGGCCAAGACGACGCACCAAAGCTAACTATATACACAGACACGCATGGGGCTTCCGTGTTTTCAACGTCTTTATCTTTTTTCTTTCTCAGAAGACAAGCTATAGAATACTGGGACGACAAAAGAATACTGAAGAAACCGACTTCAGAACCCTCACGTTTATTGGGGGAGGGGGGAAGGGAAGTTTGCGGGGTGCCCGCCCCACTGCAGTCCCCGCGCCATCGCTTCCTCTGTCCCCTTCTTTCGTGGGTGAGGGAACGGGGCTGGGTGAGCTGGGGCGGATCTGGACCTAGCGGGTGTGCAGTGCGGGAAGCAGAGAAGGGGGACGGGAGCCAAGTTCAGGGCGCACAGGGCTGGAAGGGGCAGCTAGCATTGCGCTGTGTACATTCTGGGCCAAGGCTGGTGGCTGTGGCCCGGGGAATTGTTGCAGGTGGGGGATTCCTCCCGGCTCCCTGTAGTCTGAGGTGTCCCTTTGGGGTCCCCTAGGCCCAGGGTGCAGAGCGAGAAGGCCGAACCAGGACTGGGGTTGGAAGCTTGCTTAGTGACCCAGCTGTGTGCTGTGTGGCCCTTGGAACGCTGCGCCCTCTCTGTGCCTGTCTCCCCGGTGTCCCCCCTCCCCCGCCCCCCTCCCCAGGAGCTAATCCGACTTCTCGCCGTCATCCTCCTGGTGGGTGTCCCCATCGTGTCCGTTCTTGTCCTCCTTGGAGAGGTGGGTCTGAGAGCCCAGCGCAGACAGTGACAGCAGGCCCGTGCCAGCGCTGACGGCAGGGAGCGATGGTGGCTGCAGCCCCACGGGCAGCGGAGTCAGGGGCAGGGCCAGCGCCTGCAGCTGAGACAGCTGGTGAGCTTGGAGCTGCTGCTGCGGGGCGAAGGGGAAAGGTCAGCCCAGGGTCCCGACACCTGCCCACCCAGCTCGCCCGTCAGTCCCCTGCACCCCTGGGTCCCCATGATCTGTCTCCTGACCATCCTGGTCACCTGTCCCCCTGTCCACCCTGGACACCTGTCAATCACCTGTCCGTCCAAGTCATCTTTCCCCTGCCCGACCAGGTCACCCACCAGTGACCTGTCTTGCATGGGCTCACACTTACTCGAATGATGGAGTTCAGCTCGGGAGCCGTGACCTGCTTGGCCCTCTCGATGGCTCCCAGGACCTGCTGCTGATGCTGGAACAGGCAAAGTAGGGTCAGAGGCAGTTCCCTCGGATAACGAGGCAGGCGAGCCAGAAAGGGATTGGTACACAGAAATCAAAGGGGGTGACAGCCTGAACAGTAACTGGCCTGAGTGCGCAAGAGAAGTCCCGTGCTATGGGCCCCGGGGGCTGGTGGTGATGGTGGGGGCTGTCCAGGGGCTTTCCTCTGAAAGCTGGGCTGCAGGAGTCATCTACTTTTACTTGTCAGTCACCCGCCTACTCGAGTCCCTCTCCCCCGTGCCCTGCCCACCGAGGGGGCCCTACTTTCTGCCTTGGATGCAAGGAAGACTCTGCCACAGGGGTCTGACTCCAGCTCCCGCTCTTCTCACCCCTGCTAAGTTCACAGAGGGCGGGCTTGTGCCCCCAGGCGAACCCCACTGCCCCCTGCTGGTGGCTTGCTTACCTCCTGTGACAAATAGGGCAGAACCTGGGCGCAGATGCCATTCAGCCTCTTCACGATTTCAGCCTGGAACACACAGGATCCCCCCTCAGTACCCGGGGGCAATTAGAGGGGACAGAAGGGCCCACTTCTGGGGGTGACAGGAGTGTCCTCAATGCGCAGGGCGGGACTCGAAGGGCACTGGGGTAATGGCGGGGGAAACTGAAGCTTACCTGTTTGTGCATCTCGATGTTCAAGCCGTAAGACATCTCGTAGTACTGTGGGTGGAGAGGGGCGTCAGGGACCGAAAGGGCCTTCTGAGTGGCCTGGCTCTCCCTGCACGGTCCAGCCACGCCACGCCAACCCACCCTGTCCACTGAGCTCCTGTTCTTCAAGACCCCAGCAACCTCCCCTGCTGGGAACTGTGGGTGGGGGTGGGGTGGGCTCTGGTCCTGGAAGGGTTAAGGGATGCCTGGCAGGATGGCCTGCAGGGAGGGGACCATTGCTTCTCTGGCTGTGGCTGGCTTCCACACCACCTCCTCCTCCTGCCACCAAGGACAGCGGGGACCTGGCAGGCCCGGGCTGCGAGCCGATGGGTTGGCACCTCAGCCACTACCTGGGCTGGCGGCCAGGCCGCCCTCGGTCCACAGGGACTCAGTAGCCGGCACCTGCGGTGTGTGGGGAGTCTGGGGTCACCCCGCCCCGAGCCCCCAGGTCCCAGAGGGGGCTTTACCATGACGTAATGCCTTTGCATCTCTGACTTCTCGCTGGCCAGCTTGTCGCACTCCAGCTTGAGGCTGAGGACACAAGGGAGCCAGCTGAGGTCCCCTTCAGGGGCCCGCCTTCTGGAGGGTCAAGCTAGAAACTTTTTGGTTTGTTTGTTGATTCAGGGTCTTATGTAGCCTGGGCTGGCCTTGAACTCAAAATGTAGCTGAGCATGACTTTGAACTCCTGATCCTCCTGCCTCCACCCACTGATGCTGGGATGACAGGCACGTGCCACCAACAGGGTCGCAGCCCTAAGCTGCAAACTGAGAAGGGGCCAAACACCACACCTGGCTGCACCCCTGGGTTTCCTGCAATCCTGGCAGGCAGGTTGCCTCAGTTTTCCCCACTGTGAAATTACAAAAGCAGTCTCAAGGTGGTGCCTTCCTGAGGGACTGATGAGGCCTGCAGAACTTATCATCTGTCTGTTTCATCTTAATGTGTAACTTACTGGACACCCAGAGAGGGCGAGTGAGTGCTTCAAGGTCACACAACCATCAGTAGCCCAAAAACCCAGAGAGAATTCTCCACACACAGATACCTGGCCCAGAGCTACGACGAACAGAGCTAGGGGCACCCCAAGGGGTCCTGGCATCAAGAACTTTCTTCACACCCAGCCTGCTGCCTCTCTGGGCAAGGCACTGCCTTGCCTCCCCCTGCTGTGTGATTGTAGGCCAAGGCCAGCTGCTGTGTCTGTGTAGGCCCTAGTTGCTTCCTCCTTGTAGTAACAACTTTCCTGGCCAGGAGCGTGAGGGTGAGGGATCAGTCCATCAAAGGGCTGGGCCTGCTCACGGTGGTGAGGTGCCTCCCACCAAGCCTGGCAGTGATCCCCAAAGCTGTTCCCTGACCTCACCATGGGGCCACCCCTCAATGTTTTTTGTTTGTCCGTTTGTTTGTTTTTGAGACAGGGTTTCTGTGTAGCCCTGGCTGTCCTGGATTCCCTTTGTAGATCAGGCTGGCCTCGAACTCTGAGATCCACCTGCCTCTGCCTCCCCGAGTGCTGGGATCACAGAGATGTGCCATCACCACTCATCAAAATAGGAGAGACCAACAAACCAACACACCCCTCAGAACTTGGGAGGGTAAGACAGGAGGAGCTCTGTGAGTTTGAGGCCAGCCTGGTCTACAGAGTAATTAAGAGCCTGTCCTGAAAAAAAGTCAAAAGTAAATAAAAATAAAGCCAGGCGAGCATCATTGGGCTGGACCCTGAGCCACCTAGCCGCATAGTGAGTCCCTGTTTTCACAAACCAACAAGTGAGTGGCCGTGCACATGGGTCAGCCACTCAAGGGCCTGCAGCTCAATCACAAGGACAGGAGTTCGAATCCCAGCACCATGAAAAGCCAGCTCCTGGGAGTGGTTGTAACCCGAGCCCCCAGCCTCGGGAGACCCTGGGAGACCATGCACCCCGCAGATCCGGGACGGGTCACCCAGAGCCGTGGCAGGCACAGCAATGGTATCCTAAATTCCTCTTTAAAGTGGAAAAAGTCGGGGGTGCAGCCCCGTGGGCGGACTGCTGACCCAGCACCTGGCATCCGCTGTTAGCAGCTCAAGGGCAGCCTCGGCTACATAGGGAGCTGGGGAAAGCCTGGGCTACTCAAGACCCTGTCTCAAAATAAGTATCACTATTAGAAATAATAATTTTTTTTAAAAATAAAAGAACTCCAGGGCTGGAGAGATGGCTCAGCAGTTACCAGAGGACCTGCGTTCAATTCCCAGCACACACATGGCAGCTCACAACTGTCTGTAATTCTAATTCCAGGGGATCCGACACCATCAGAAACAGACATACTTGCAGGCAGAGCACTAATGTACATAAAATTAAATAACCATAAGTTTAAAAAATAAAATAAAAAAATAAAAACACTCCACAAAAACTATGTTCTTTTTTTCTTGGAGAAAACTAAGGGACTTTCAAAGTCTTTATCATTATCAGCAGCAGCAGCTTGTTTTCTGAGACAGGTTTGCTCTGGACCTCAAACTAGCCCAGAACATGGACATTCTCCTGCCTGTGGGTCTGAGAGCTGGAATGCTGGGCTTGCAGCCCCCACTCACCGCTGGGTTACATGAAATGGGGGTCCAGCCTGGGGTCAAGTGATGCCCTGCGGCAGGGACCCATCTGGCCCATACCTCCCTTCCTCTCTGCAGTTTGCCCCTGGAAGCTGTGACCCCTCTGGGTGATGAGTTTCAAGTCAGAACGGAGAAAAAGGATTTGTGGTGGGAGCAAGCAGACTGGAGGGCTCTGTGGGCAGCCGCAAGCTCCCCTCACTCTACCTGGACAGAAACAGAAGGGGGGCTGTGTGACCCTGAGCCTATTCCTAGCCCTCTCTGCGACCCCGGTCTGTCCTGTGTTAACTGAGAGCCATACATGGGACGGCGACTCTGCAGCCATGAACACTGTGCGCCTCGGTTTCCTCCTCTGCACCCCGGGCCGCCTGCTTGTTTTTAGACACATGATCTCATGTAGCCCAGGCTGGCCTCCAACTTGCTAAGCAGCTGAGGGTGACCTTGACCTGCTGACCTGCTGCCCCCACCTCCTGGGCCCTGAGAGGACAGGAGCACCCCCACCTGGCCTTCTTGCAGGCCACGGAAAACTCTATGGCTTTCTGGGGATCCCTGGGTCCCCCTAGCCCGGGCTCACCTGTGGTACTGCGCCTGTAGCAGCTGGAATTCATCCTTGATGCGGTCGCAGGAGTCGGAGGTGGTGAACTTGAGCTGCTGGGGGAGGTGGGAGGAGCCCTGCGGGGTGCGGGAGGGTGAGCGCCCCGCCCACACCCCACTTCCTGGGCTGCAATTTACAGACCCCAGAGGAAGCCAGGAGGGGGCTGTGAGGCCCCTAGGCAACGGGCGCTCTTATGCTCTGGTCATTTGGGGGACAGGCACCCATTGGGGGGTTGCACCTCTGATCTGCAGTTGCCCCGAGGGCTCCCCAGAGAGCCCCTCTAAGCCAGCCAGCGCACAGGCCTCCCTTCAAAACCGGCTTGGAAGAGGCACCTTCCAAGCTTACCCGTCCCACATTTCCTGTTTCCTCGGGGGGGGGGTGCTCTTCCAGGAGGGGACCCTCCCAAAGCTGTCCAGCCCCGGGACTGCCTCGCGGGGCTACCCCCAGACCCCAGCCAAAGCCATGGGAAGAATCAGGCAGGGAGCTGGTAGCTGGAGGGGGCAGGGGGCTGGCCGGGGTGGGGGGGTGCTGTACAGGGCCGGCAGCTGGGGGCACAGGGCTATAAGTTGGGGTTTAAGATTATCGGATCTGGGGAGCACGGCCAGGAGCAGCGTGTGGGGTGCAGAGCCACTGGGAGCTGGGGTGAGAAGCAAGGCAGACCGGCCCGGGCTTGGATGGGGGGGGGGGGCCGGGAGCGCGGGGGGGGGGGCAGGGCAGTATCCGGCTTCGGACAGAGGAGCACTGCGTAGGGGCACTTGTAGGGGCACCGGGTGTCCCCAACCCTGGTTCTGAGGGTGCAGCATGAGGGCTGGGAGAAGGCAGACTGCCCAGTGCGGGCCTGCCGCTGGAGAAGGGACGCTGGGCCAGGCTGGGGGGTGGCGCTGAGCCCGGATGGTGACGCCAGGCCCGACAGGGCTGGAGGGAGAGACGGGGTGCGGGGCCTGGATTGGGGGTGCGGGGCACCAGACTTGGGGACAGGCAGATCTGAGATGGAAGGAAGTGCTGGGCCCAGGTGGCGGTGGATGCAGGGCCTTGGACTTGGGGGCAGGCCAGTCTGGAAGCGATAGAGCTGGGCCTGGGGGGTGCAGAGCACAGACGTGGGGGTGCAAGGTCCTGGGCTGGAGGACATGCGCGGCCTGGGGTGAGGGGATGAAGGGCCTGGGCTTGGGGTGCTGCGGCTCTGAGCCTGAGTCCCCGAGCTGGGAGACAGGCCGAAGGCGGCTGTAGTGGGGTGCGGGGCCCAGGCCTGGGGGGTGGGCGGGGGTGACGAGATAGGACCGTGGAGTCGGGATGGGCGGCGGATGGGAGGACTCAGAGCCGGGATCAAAGTTCAGGGATCCGAGCTGAAGGGTACAGTGCTGGGCTGGTGGGGTGCTCACGGCCTGGGTGCTGGGGTGCAAGAAGCCCGGAGACAGCGCCCGGGGCTGGGGAACAGGCCTATGGGAGCTGGGGCGCGTAGGGAGCCCGGGGACAGGCCCTGGGCGGGGAGACAGACGGAATCTGAGCTGCGGGGGTGCAGGGCCCTGATGGAGGGTTGCAGTGAACTGGGCTTGGGGTTCAGGGCGAGCTCCGGGGTGCAGCGCGAGGGGTCCTCCTTACCGAGTGCCGGCTTTGCGGAAACATCATGTCAGTCGCGGGGGGCGCGGGCTGCGCCCCGGCTCGGGCGGCTCGGGGGGCGCCGGGCGGCCGCGCTTTGTCCCCGATCGGCAGCTCCGGGGCCCCGCGTCCCGCCTCCTGCGCCGCCCGCCGCCCGCCCGCGCCGCCCGCGCTATTGTGTAATGGCGACGCGGTGCCGCCCGGGCTCCCGCTCCACCTGCCGCGCCCGGCACTGCGCAGGCCCGGACGCCCCACCCGTGACCTTGGCCCCGTGCGCCCCCCCCCCCCCCCGGCCCGGCGGCCCCCCCCCCCCCCCCCCCCCCCCGCCCGGGCGCCCCCCCCCCCCCCCGAGGCCTGCCTCAGTGTCCCCACCCCCACCCCTCGGGCCACAGACTCACAGCCTGGGCGCCCAGGCTTCAGGGTGCATTTATGAAGCTATGAAGCCCCTATGGGCTGGCACGTCCTCTCTGGAGGGTTGGCACACTCAGGGGGCACCCTGGGCAGTAGAGTGACACCTGTCCCACAGAGGTAGGATGGGGTCCCAGGCCTGTTATCGGACTGACTATGGTGTGAAGGCAGGAGCATCAGGAGTTCTGGGCTAGCCTGGGCTACCAGAGACCTTGTCTCAAAACAACAAAAAAAGACGGTTTGCATATAAGTACAAGGCAGTAATACCGGTGCTCAGTAGGTTGAGGCAGGTGGAGGTCAGCCTGGTCTACACAGTGAGGTCTGATGAGACCTGATCTACTGGGGCCCCTATCTCAGAACAGCAAAGAGTTAAAGAGGGCTACAGGAGATGGTGGCCGCCTCCGCCTTTAATCCCAGCACTCAGGAGGCAGAGACGGGAGAGTCTCTGAGTTTGAGGCCAGCCTGGTTTACAAGGCTCTGTGACAGCCAGAGTTACATAGTGAGACCTGTGGCGTAAACAAAATAAAAAGTTAAGAGTTCCCAGGTCCTTGTGCCATCCCAGTACCTAGGGGGGTGCTGAGGCAGGAGGATTGTTGCAACTTCAGCGTCAACCTGGGGCCTGGTTTATAGAGTGAAAACTGTCTAAAAAAAATAAAATCCGAAATAAATATGCCCGGCATGGTAACACAGACTTATAGTTCCAGCACTCAGGAGGTGGACCTCTGTGAGCTCACGGCCAGCCTGGTCTATAGCGTGAGCTCCAGAACAGCCAGGGCTACACAAGAAGCCCTGTCTCAAAAATCATAATAATAAAATAAATACATAAAAGAAAACTAGTTCCCTGGCTAATATCTATTAGCCCAACATTTCAGACCAAGCTGAGGTGAAGCAAGAGGGTTCCTACAATTCCAGGCCGGCATGAACCCTCTAGCAAGACCCTGTCTCAAACAGTCCCATACCCAGGACACATGGGGACAAATAACATCGAGAGCCATGCTCACATGGCCTGTGAGGCTAGAGGGGAGAAACAGTGGCCAGCAAGGCTTGGCCAGGCCACTGCAATGTCACTGCAGTGAGCCCCAGTGAGGAGCTGGCTGCCTTCCCCAGCCACAGAAGGCAGATGAGGGGAAGAGGGAGCCATGGAGACTCCAGGCCTCATGAGACAGGGCCAAAGCCCTGGGTCAGGAATCAGACTCTGCTACCCCAGAGGCAGGAGGCCAAGTGCTGACCTAGATCCTGCTCATGACGGCACTTTCATGAAGGTTCCACTGTTGGCCTGTGACATTGTCTTAGTTTATCCTATAGAAACAGGGTCTCATATGGCCAAGGCTGGCCTGGCACTCTGTAGCAGAGGATAACCCTGAACTCCTGAGCTTCCTGCAGCAGGCCAGCCTTCCCTGTCACCATCCTCCTGTCCCACTTTGGGACATACACACAGCCTCTCTGTGGCTTGCCAGCAGCCTCTGATTCCAACACAGCCAGAGTGTCACAGCAGCAGCTGGCTCTGTGTGGCCATGTCCCTGCCCTGACTTCCCAGCCCCCCGGCATGGCACAGTCTCTTTTGAACTAACTACTGAGTGCTAGCATTGCCACCTCAAGATGACGGCACACCAGCAAGGTCAGCCAGCCCCTGTGTGGATGGAGGAGCCAGACACAGGCCTGACACTGGAGGTCAGGACAGGCCGATGCCGACCCAGGAATCTGCCTTTCAGCATGGCAGCTGTTTCGAGACAGAAGTTTGTTTGTCAGCTGGATGGTGGTGGTGCAGGCCTTTAATCCCAGCAATCTGGAGGCAGAGGCAGGGGGGTCTCTGCAAATTCACGGGCAGTCTGATCTACAGAGACTGCTTCAGGACAGCCAGAGCTACATAAGACCTCAAAAAGCCCAGGGATGGATGGATGGATGGATGGATGGATGGATGGATAGATAGATAACAAACAAGCAATTTTCTATGGTATGTAAGCTGGGAAGGACAGAATTATGGTCAAGCTGTGTTTAGTGAGCAGATATATATATATGACTGTGGATGTCTGAGGTCTCACTAAGTTGTCTAGGACATCTTTGAACTTGGGGTTCTTCTGCCTCAGCACCCCAAAAGCTGGGATGACAGACTTGGGCCATGCAGCCTGACTCTTGTTTTTTAAAGATTTCATGCATCCCTATATGCAAGTCTGAGCACTGAGTGTGCAGTTCCCATAGAGGCCAGAAGGTGGCGTCGGGTCCCCTGGAGCTGGAGTCACATGTGGTTGCTAGCTGCCATGTGGGTTCTGGGAATCGAACTGGGGTCCTCTGCAGTGCAGCCCGTGCTCTAGTTGCTGAACCCTGGTCCCTCCAACTCCCTGTCTGCACTAGGCTCTGGCTTAAACACTTGAATGGGAAGGAACCGCCAGTGTCCCTAAGAGAATGGAGAACAGAGAGGGGAGAACAGACATGGCCGAAGTCACACAGCAGTTGACAGAGGGAGTCTAGTCTTGTTTGCATTGTGTTGGGCCCTTTTGGAGGGTGGCATGAAGGCAGGCGACTCCGCAACACTGGCTGGAGCGGGCTACAAGCCAAGGCTGGGCAACCCGAGGTGCTACAGTGCGGGTTCTCAGTCAGCCCCTGGCTTTCCTCTGGGGGCATCCTGGGTCCTGCTAATGCTGACCACTATGCCTGGCTTCCACCTACTCCATGCTAAGAGTGACACACGTGCCCAGACATCAATCCAATGGCGTCACTGTCGCCCCCAGTTAAGGACAGTGTTCCATGGGTAGAGTACACCCAGCATGCACCCCGGTATCCAGGCGGTGGAGGCCAGAGGATCAGGAGTGCAGGGCCAGCCTCCGGCACGCATCTGTCTGAGGCCAGCCTGGGCCTCAGGGGAACCTCCCAAAAGGACCTCACCTAAAAATCTCAGAATGGGGCTGTCAAACCGTCACCCAGAACTATTTGGGGGTTGGACTGTGGAAGTCTGGGCTCCTCTGACACCCACATCCCACCCCTGATGCTTAGTCTGCAGCTTTGCGTCCTGGGGCCACTCAGGATGGCGCCCTGTCTCAGGCGTCCAACCTCAGGACACTCACTGCCTGGGACACAAATGAGCAACAGGCCACAGCACTGAGCGCCCGCCCGGGCTCCCTGCAGTCAGTGCAAGGCCAGGGCAAACAGGTGGCTGCTGGGCAGCAAGGCCTCCCTCTGTGAGGTGGGGAGTGGGGGTGGGGTGGGGGATGGGAGTAGGAGTGGGGGATGGGCTGGGAGTGGGGGTGAAAGTGGAGCTCCTCCGTCCAGATCTGGAGCTTCAGGTCGGCCACCCTGGCTAACACTTGGCTGTGGATCCTGGGGTGAGTGTCCCGTCATCAAGGCAGAGGCTGTCACCCAAAGAATCATTTCCAAAGTGGACTAGCTCCCACATGCTCCCCCTGTGAGCGTTTACTGGGCACTGACTGTCAGGTGCTTGGTTCTAAGTGGGGGCATGCAACCTTAAAGCTGACCAGGCTCCAGAGGGCCTGCAGCCCCAGCCCCGCCCCCGCCCCCCCGGGCCCCCCCCCCGGGGCCCCCGCCCCCCCCCCCCCGTCCTGTGTGCCCCCCACAGCCCTGCCCCAGAGCCTCTGCACAAGCTGTGGGTGATTCCTTGTGTTAGCTAGGCAGCGAAGACTGGATGAGTGGCTGGTCTGTATTTTTAGGACTTTACATTTCCTTTTCTTCCCTTTGAGCCAGGGATGGTGGGCACACACCTGTCATCCCTCTCAGATGAGGCAGGAGGATCACCTCCAGGCCGGGCACTGGAGGCTTGCCAGGCCATGGGCTCCCCAGTGCTGCAAACGACAAAACCAACTGGCCACACACACAGGCCACTTGGGGTTCCTGTTTCTCCACCACTCAGCCTCGACCCAGCCGCCCCCCCCCCCCCCCCCCGGCGCTGGGGCCCCCCCCCCCCCCCCCCCCCCCCCGGCCCCCTCGTCGCGTCGGAGTTTCTTTCCCTCCCCTTGTTGCCACCTGCACGGGTGGGCCCG